AATTATGCTTGTGATACATACAGACCTAAAGACGCATGTCTATATTAAACTTTTAATTTTTCTTAGAGTGTTTCTGACGTGTCATTAAAAAATATGCATAAATATACAACCTTCAGTTATTCATAAAGCGTCCAAACACTGTTACGCGCAGATCTAATGCCTTCCCTTGAAGGTCACAGCCAATAGTTTGCCGCTGCTCACAGCTCAGACTGTAAGTATAGAGCTTTGTCTTTGCATGGAATATGTTTCCCAGGCATGCAATAATTTTTACCCTCTATTCCACATTGTGCATTACTAAAAAGCTGCCATAAATGGTGCCTATGATATTTGTTTATTTTGCCATGTCCCCTGTTCCTTGCAGAGAAACACTTTCTGGCTTTCAGCTATCTGTAGCCAAATCACATGTGGAGACTTAAGTTTGGCAAAGATCACTTGCCAATCTTTGGTGGAGGATACAATGGTTGCTTGAAAGGCTTCTAATTTTTAAAAATTGCTATTTGCCAGTTGCCACTAAGACCCTTTGAAATCTTGTCCCTAAAATGTTCACTGGTGCCAGGTGGGGTTCTGGCTACTATGTTTGTTTTTACTGTTGATTATTTATTTTGATTTGATATTTACATAGCTAACAACACACAATATGTACCAAGTCAACTAACCAAAATTAAAGCTCTTAATTCTCGGAAAGGGAAATTGGATCCTGAATACTCAGGCAGAAGATGCACTATTCACTTTCACTCAATCGACAAGCCTTGTTTAAAATGCAAAAAAAACAAAAGAAGGGCCCTTGACCTCATTTCATCCATTATCAGGGGCAGTGCCAGCCCAAAAATAGTGGGGTGTACAATGAAATGGTGGAGTTGATAAAGGGGTCTGGATGAGAAACCGGCACAACACCGTACAAGAAATCGTGCTCATTATTGATAACCCAGTTTGAAATATTCTTAAACCGTCAATAGAAGAGTTAAATTTCATAGGCAAAGGTTTACACACATAAAAGCTAATAACATAGTTAATTTCAGAGTGGTACTCTTTAGCTTGCACAATGGTTTTCAACTTATTAATGAGGCTTCCTTTGTCTATCTTATCTGTCATTTCTTGATTGATGCTAATTTGAATAAGGCTTTCCAACTTTTTGTCTGACATTGAGGCTAAAAGGTGATGCGGCTGTAACTGGTGGGGGTGCAACTATACTATCTTTACAGCTTAAAATAGGTTGGGTACAATTTTTAAAGCTAAGTATTGCCAAAACCTTTAACACGAAAGGAAGGCAAAGACCACACTTCAAGAACCTACTGTTTAGCACGATAAAGCTGTGTTTTATGGTTCATATTCATTTTAGTTTCTCACTATTCACGGAACTGACGATCCAACACACCATTCTCTGTCAGGTTACAACTAAAGAAGAACCGTAACTGACCATCAAATGAAAAAAGTTCCAATCTCAGAGAAGAAAACTTACATCCCCCTTATGTATTTAATCAAGGTTTTGAAAAATTACAAAATCGATTCTTAAAAAAAAGTGGGTGGGGCGGACATGTCCACCCAAGTCCACCTCGTGGCGCCGCCCCTGTCCATTATTCATCATCACTAATAGCAAAGTAAAGGCAAGCCCGTAGTCAGGCCTATGGGGCAGGGGTGGCAAACTACCCAAACCGGTTGCAGGCAGACGTTTCAGCAATATTTCTTTTTTTGCTGAAATATTTCTAAGTTTTTGCTTAGCAGCGAATTTTTTTTTGATCGCCAGGCACCATCTTAAGTCCTAAATGGATAATAAGAGACCCCAATAGACAATTTCTCCTTCCGTCAGTATTAGCATGACTCAAATTGTCATGGCAATCCAATGATAACGACGAAAAACGCCATTAAAAAATTTAGAGACAAAATTATCGGGGTGGCAAACAGCTAGTATGCTTTTGATCCAGGGTGGCATTGCCACCCCCTTTGGCTACGGACCTGAGGAAATGACAAGGTTCAATTCATTTTCTACGATGATCGGTAAATTTTATTACCTGTCAGGAACTACAATAGAACGTAACGTTGCCCCATAATTCAATAAACCGACAGAGATGCCATTTTTGTTGCGAAGAGTATACTCTTGCAGCTTCGTTTGTTGTGTTTCATTGTCAGCCATCTTCGTTCGTACGTACGGTTGGCTTGTTGTCGTTGTTGTTGCTGTTTTTGACAACACGGGGGTTACTACTAGCTACAGAATTACGCCTTCGAGAAGGGTCGTCAAATTTGACCAAAAATTAAAGAAAATTGAATTTTCATTTTGAAATAAGACTGTGCTGATAATTTAATGTTATTTTGACAGACAGGCCACAAATTACGTCATTTTCAAATTTAAATTGTTCCTTTACATTTCACTGCATCAGTACTGTTCTATCATTTATCGGGAAAAAACATCAACAACGGAATTGCTATGTTTTGAATTAACTGAGAACATGACTGAATTAAGGGCCATATCCACAATACAAAAATGGGGCGAGAGGGTACAGAAGAAGAGAACAGCCTGGAAAGAGTGCTCTAGACAAGCACAATAAGCCCTACCAGAAGCAATTAAAAATATAACCAATCAGGGCCAAGGGACCAACACTTTCACAAAGAAGCCCAAACTACAGAACTCCTTCTTCTATATTATTCCCATGGCATCAAAGACTTAAAGGGCCTCTCCATCAAAGACTTAACTTAACACAATATAAAGACTTAACACAAGTATAAAAGCATGATATTTGATACCTAAATGAGAATAATACAATTCAATTAAAAATAAGAACCCTTAGTGAAATCAAATTCTAATCTTTAGAAATATTTAATTTTTCAAAACATGGTAACCATCTAAACATGGTAACCAAACTGTGCCCAAACCATCTAAACAACATAAAGTTTTCGGTATAGACAAACTTCAACATAAAAGTTTCAAATCTGAGGTCCATTTTTGACAAAGGTCTGTAAATAGCAGGAGGGAGAATTGATGATGTCAACTCAGAACTGAGAATGGAACCTATTATAATCATATTTTCTTAATTGTAGGGTAATGGAAATGGGGAGAGTATGATTTATCTTTATTTTTCAGTTTCCTTCTAAATAAACTTCTGACAAATACCAAACAGAGATAGGCATAGTTTTAATTGTTTTAAATTTGCAGAAGAACTGGCAAAAAAAAGTAGAGGTGTTAGAAGTATGACTCACAACTGAGGAAATAATTTTTAAGAAGCCAAAATATCTCCTAAAATTGATTTAAGTCTCTATGTCTGAATTCAAATGATACATTTTACATTTTTATTCAAATTTCAATAACCATATATTGATATCTGAAATATCTATCTATTAGTTATTTTTCAAGACCATTAGCATACTGAAATTGTGATGTTGTTTCATATTCATACATATCCAATGCTACCTTACAACTCTCATTTACAACCTGTTCATTGTCCTTGAGGTAATCTTTTAGAATATCTATGCAATTTTCCTTGGCAATTGAACCAAGGGCTTCAGCACATTCATGTCTTACCATTGGGTTTTCAGATTTATTGCTCAAAGACATAGAAAGTCCTTTAATGGCTGCTTGATGTTGCATCTGGCCAAGGACATATGCTATTTCATGTTAAACAGTGCACTTGAACACTTCAAACCTTCAGCAAGAATTAATACTGACTCTTCAGTATTTTTATTCCTTAAGCTAAACATTGCCCTGTATCGATCAAATAATGTTTTTGATTCATCCAGCAAAGTTTCTTTTAACATATTTATATCATTCTCGTCAGCAGGAGGAGCTGGATCCACAGAGCAATAAGGATTTTTCTTCTCTTCCTCAAGTTTCTTCTCTTGAAGCCATTTTATTCGGCCAATCGCCAATTGGCAAGTTTCTGCTACCTCTACAGAAGAATCATTTGAATATCTTTGAAGGATTTCCATTATAGCAGGGTCTCCAATAGCCCCCAAAGCTTCTGCTGCTTCATGACGTACCATAGTATCTTGAACTTTATCCTCAAGGACCTTTACAAGGACAGGTACAGCATACTTGTCTTGCATCTGGCCTAAGCAGAAGGCCAATTCATGTTTCAAAAGTGCCGATGGATCATCAAATGTACTTGCAATATAATCGATTGCTTCCTTTCCACCGAGGTTTCTGAGTGTGAACAATGCCCGAAAGCGATCTGTCAAAGAGTTTTCTTTGTCTGTCAAACGCTGCCCTACTTTCGCCAGATCCTTACTCGACACCATGTTTGTAAGGATGCACTGCCAAGTGCACTGCAAGGATGCCTCGTTTTCATGAAGAGACTGTTCAAAAATGGCTTGAGTCACGTTTCTATCAATTTTTGTTACACAATCAGGCTAAGAAGACATGCAGTGAATTAAGACAGTACTGATAGAACTGTAGAAATGTCAAGAAGTCTCACAAAAAAGGCGAATTTTTTGTGCACCAGCACATTTCCATTGGCAATTGCCGCCGGCGAAAAATTTGCTTTTCAAAATGGCTCGTGCATTGGTGCAGGGTCAGGCCCCTGCTCATCGTTAGGCCGCTTTTCAAAGAAGGCGTTTTATTGTTCGACCAGCAATGTTCAATATTCTGGAAAAGTGCCACAGCGAGAAACTGCTTCTGGGCGAGATTCGCTCGAAAAGAAACCAAAAAAGGGAAAACTAATAAGAAAGAAGCTGAAACCAGTCGCAACCGATACCAACCAAAAGGTAAGAAGACGGGTCGATTACATTGCATAATATTCTGATGAATCTTCACGCTAGTGGTTCCATTCTCAGTAAAATCAGAATGCTATATAGTTGCGTTATTGTAAGAAATATTAAGGATTTCTGTATTCTTTTGACAGCTAAGAAGGAGGTCCGTGTTGCTCTTCACATTGAAATCCAGCCAAGAGTGCGAGCTTTCATGTTTAAGGTGATATTAGATATAAAGTCTAGGAACTCGAAGGCCAGTATGGATTGCATGGCAGCCGCACTCCCGAGAAATTTTTGTGAAATTACAAGTGCACTCTTGCACTCCCAAATATTAGCGCAGTTTTGGTGTGGTTTTGGGTTTGGTCAATCAAAAAAATTTTTTCAAATATGGCAATGACTTTCTAAATGTGTTCCCATCTTGGATTGGAAAAAGTGGAACCACAACAGTTTTATCATGGTTGCAAACTTGGAAGGAACAGTATAAATGGAGTATCTGGCAAAACTGAAAAAGGAGGCCCTTGGGAGCGAAGCGAGCAGAAAATTTTTCTGACTTTTTAAGCTATATATCAGAATATTTTCGATATTTTATTAGCCTGAGTTTCAGACCCAAAAGTAAAAGTATTGGATCCAATGTGCACATTTATCACAAATGCACTCTTGCACTCCCGGCTAATAGCTTGTGCACTCCTAAAATCTCGGCAAAAACTGCCATGAAATCCAGACTGGCTCAAAGGGACAGAGTAGTCTATCTTGAAATTTTTCTTGCAATCTCCATTATAATCTCCATAAGCATTTGATGTTAGCCTGATAGGCTAAGTTTTTATGTGACTGCGGTTTTTAACCCAAATATATTGCCAGAAAGTGTCAGTCTTATCTTATCTTCTCTCATTTATTCCTCTGAAAGCATCAACCTGTGACACTTGTGGATTCCCCCAAAGTTGTGTTCTTAACAGTCTTGTCTTTCTTGTGTTTCTATATTCTAGTTTATTTATATTATTTGAAAAATCACCCGCTGGGCACGATGAGAAGAAGGAATTTCTAATTGTCTTTTTTTGACGTGTCATGTCACTTTTTTCAAAAATATCCTCCAGATAAGCAAACAAGAGCCGACCTGAACCTAGTCAAGAGACCCTTGCAAGTGTTAGTAGTCTTATTGATTAATATTAGTATTGAGTATTGAGTATTGAGTATTGAGTATTGAGTAGTAGTGTTTATTAGTATCAACCATTATTATAGGCTCCATCTTGTATTTTAAACATATAAAATTTGTTTTATTGTCTTGTTGACAGCTTCATGAGCATGCAAGAGAAAGAGCTGTTCCATCATCAAAAGTAACTAGAATATTGAATTATGGAGGTAATTTAATTAAATGCTTATATTTTTTCAACTAAATGTATGCATTTAAATACTTGTTCTGTAAGTTCAAGTATATTTCAGGATTTTGCTGGAAAAGTCTTCAGCAAAGACACTTTTGTGTCACAACCCATTCATGCAATTATGTTGATATTAATTTCAGTAGTGCTTGAGTTCAAATTGGAGGTCAACACCTTTTTGCTACATATTTAACATTTTTTCTAGTTCTTACACATAGTTTCTGTGTTTATAAATAGTCAACCAGCAGAATACTTTCTTTTTCCAGTTTTTAATTTTAAGTTTTTAACTTGTTTTATATTTTATAGGCTTGACTGTTGGTCTTGGGATTGGAGCGTTGGCAGAGTCAGTAAGAAGACAGTTTGGCATGACGAAGGAAGGTAATTTGTTAACTTAGAACTGTGCCAAGATTATTCTAAGGTCCATAAAAACTGTTTATATCACTGACTATGTAGACATCATTAATCACAGTTAGGCAGTTGTCCAGCTCATTCTTTAGCCAAAAATGATATATGCGAATACCTTGATACCCAAAAACAAAATCAACTTTCTCATAATAAATTGTTCTTAAAATGCTCATAAATATTTTACTGAAGAAAGAATTTAGTCGTGGTTTTTTCATATACCACATGCTTGTTGGAGAGAATATGATAAACAGCAATCTTACAGTGGTTTTTTCTTGTAATGCACTTTTTCCTCAGGCAAAATAACTAAATTAATTTGATATCCATCTTGCACAGGTAGCATCTGTTATATGAACTTAATAAACAATTAACTCCTATTTTTAACATTTAGGGATGTTTTTGTAAAAAGTGTCAAAAATAAGTATTTTTAATGGCTGCCCAAAGCAAACAATCATTTGCTCACAGAATATAAATGTTCTGATATTTTCCAAATAGACAATTTCCAGTGGTGCTCTATTTAAAGAGGCATTCAAGGCTTTCTTTTAAGGGCAGAAAAACATAATTATCATAAAATTGGTTACCTATACCATGCTTATGTATATAATTTTACTGAAGGCATCATATAATATTAAAGGGAGTGTCACAAATGATACTCTTTGTGGCAACAAACCAATTTAGTGAAAGTTCTTTGAATGTAAGACGGACCATTGAATAAGAAAAAGGATAAAGAATCACAGAGTTTATTATAAAGTTACATGTAGTGACGTTTTAGCAGAATTGACACAAGAACTACTATCTTGTGGACACAAGTTATGAATAGAGGTATCTTAAACCTTTGCAGGACAATTTTGAGTACTTCTGGTATTTTGAAAGTTCTGATTCCATCACAATCCACCAAGACAAATGGGATGTGTGCACCTTTGAATGAGGCCTCACTTTCTTGGCCTAGACCAAAGGCTCAGACTTCTAATTAAATTTTGTTAACAAATCAAAATCATAGTGACTGGGCATTCCATGTTCAGCAAATAGGCTCAGTAAATACAATGAAAGAGTTTATCAAAGCATCAGAATGTCCCATATTTTTTTGTTTTACATATTTTCAACTTAATTATCTTTGTATTATCTATTGAAGGAAATGGCAAGGACACAATTTATGGAGAAACATCATTTTTAACTGAAGCCAATGCAGAGAGAATTGTAAATACTTTGTGCAAAGTAAGGGGTGCAGCTTTAAAGTTTGGCCAAATGCTCAGTCTTCAAGGTAAGAATTTTCTCCAGGAAATAATAGCTAACTACCTTGTGTCAATGTTAGTTTTTTTCTCAAAATTGAGATGTACATATTTGTACATATCAAAAATAATATTTTTCTTTTGCTTTTGTTACCTACAGATAACTCTATGATGCCACCAGAATGGCAGAAGATATTTGATCGTGTAAGGGCAAGTGCCGATTTTATGCCAGCTTGGCAAATTGAGGTAATTTTTAACAGAAACTACTTTAAAAGTTTCGGATTTGCCTTGCATTTTGCGGTTTCAACATAAGATGTGTCTTGCTTTTTCAGTGTGAATGCAGCAGTCCACAGCTTTTAGGATCTGGATGAGTTTCCAAGAAATTATACAATGAAAAGTTTAGATTAATGCAAGTTTTGCCATCAGGGCTGTGTCTTTATGCTTCATTTCATTGCAGATTGGGGCTTTTGCTGCCTTTTGCATGGTTTTGAGGCTTTTTGATTCCCTTTAATAGCCCCCCCCCCCCACAGACAAATATTTTGCCCTGGCATACAGGGCTTCACCAGAGCCTACCCTTTCACAATGATAGGGGTGTCAAACCCCCACACCCTTTGGCACACTCCTGGTTGTAGCGTCTAGCCATATTTTTGCTTGCCTGGGTAAAATAAAACATACCAAAAACTTTTTGTTCTTTTCTGATTGTTAATTTTGGTACACATTTGAGCCCTTTATTAATGATGTGTGCTGGTAATTAAAATGAACACGAAAATAAGATTATCATCAAATGAAAGTAAAAAAGGCTTTTAAGTCTGATGACAAGTGGGCATTATCAAATTGTGCAGTGATTCATCTGATAAATTTAACATCTAAATAATTTATCATCTTAATAAAGCATCTAATTTCATCAGCTAAATTTTGAATTTAGGTTTCTCAGAAAACGTCTCATGGATATTGCCCAGTTGCATTTTAAAGATGATGCTTAAAATGTTTTGTAGAAAGTGTTAAAAGAAGAGTTTGGAAATAATTGGCAGACAAAAATGAAAGAGTTTGAAATGAAACCATTTGCAGCTGCATCGATAGGACAAGTACATAAAGCTGTCACCCTTGATGGCCAACCAATTGCCCTAAAAGTGCAGGTTAGTATACTTAGCATTGTCTATATTTGTTTTCTTTCGCTTGGCGATATCACTAGTTACGCCATATGATAATGGATATGCTGAATCTACCGCTATTTAATATAATAGTCTATTTTGACACTGAAATGTCTGTAGACACATTTTTTGTTAAAAGGTTAGCATTTCTTACTACCTGTAAAAGAGAAGAGATATTTATAAGCTTATAAGCAGACTCAAGAAATACAAAACATTTGCCATAAGACACAAAGACTTGGATCTGAGTGCTTACATTTCTTATGATCTAGAAGACATTTTGAATGCTAAGGCAAATTAACTTGTATCACAACAAGTCATTTCCTACCATAATTTAACTGTTTTTTGTTTTAATTCCGTTACACAAATTATCACTTTGACTTTTATAGTATCCTGGAGTCGCTACTAGTATTGACAGTGATATCGATGGACTGATGACAGTACTTCAAATGAGCAGACTATTACCTGATGGTAATCTTGTTTTCAGCATTGTTGATATTTAAACAGCTCAGATTTAACTTGATCAAATTGCTTAATTTTCATACCTCAAGGACCACAGAGCACATTACAGACTGAGGAGGCTAAAACATTTGGGGGGGGCTAAACATGCTAAAAATCAAAAGCAGGGTGACTTTTTGTATAGTTTCAGTATTTTGGAAATTATTGGGGGAGCTATAGCCCCCTCAGCCCTCCTGCTTTTGCGGTCCCTGTACCTCTATTTTCCAAACCTAGTTTAGGAAACTAAGATACAAGTTGTAGAGTCCCTTTGTTTAAAGGACTTTAGTGTTTATTAATCCAGCAAAAATCTCTTTTAGAGCAGGAATGCGTGACTTTTGACTCAAGTCTCGTAAAAAATTTGTTTTTCAAAACTTAAATAATGTGAGAAAATAGAGCCCTCTTGTGTCATTGTTGCAAAATGTGTTACTGCCTTTTCTTAAATCGTGTATGAATAGCTCATTGATGCCTTGTAGTAAATTTTGTTAGGTCTTTTCATGGACCAAACGGTTGGTGTGCTACGGAAGGAGTTATCTTGGGAATGTGATTATGAAAGAGAAGCAGCCTGCTCAAAACGATTCAGGTATTTGCAACATTGGCACTTACATAGAAAAGTTTTACATGGAGAGACACAATTTTACACTGTTACTGCCAGATAATAATTGATAGCTTTGAAAGCATTTGTTTATATGTTGCTATATATGTCAGATTGTAAGTCTCTTGCAATTGAATGTATCAGGACGTTAAGAAGTAGCAACACATTGGTGAAAACAATCCATTTTAGCGAGAAATGGTTTTAAAACGAAAATATGTTGATGAATTTGAATAAACAGAATATCTTCCAGTTTTTATTTTCGTTGTAAAAAGCTGTTTCTCGTGGAATTAGATTGTTTTTAGTTGATTTAGGTTGTTTTTGGTCAGTGTTCTTTTGGATTGCCTCCAGTCGTAAATCAACATTTTTCAAATCCAGCTGTTTACATCTTTTTCTCTGCTATTTTCTTCAACACTTACTTCGGAGTATAGTGCCATTCATCGGATACACTGAACCCTTGCTCAACGCTGTGTCCCTCCAGATAATAACCCTTTTTCCAGTAATGATCTTGCGTCGTTTGATAATGATTCTCTCAGTGGTAAAGAACCCTGTCTGAAAAATTCACCTCTCCGTTTTCCGAGTAGATTTTTCTGATATAAAGCACCGGTAGATTTAGCTTTAGAGGACTTTCTTATTTACTTGATTACACGTAAATTATTCGACTAACATAGAGTTATATGGTCTAACTTGAATTTTAACAATAAATTAATTACCCTTCGTACGTCCGCTGCAATGTACAATCTCTCGGTGGGAACTAGAATTTCGTTATGTACCTTCTCTCTAAAGCAAATGCTGCATTCCGCATACAATACTTCTCTTTACAGTGAGCTCCTTGCTGACGATCCGGTATATTATGTTCCGGAAGTGATTCCGGAGTTAACAACAAAGCGTATTCTTGCCACGGAACTGATTCACGGAATACCTCTTGATAAAGTCCGCGATATGGATCAAGAAACGAGAAACAGGGTAAGGGTATTGTTTATTTATGTTGTTTATATCGATGGGCCAAAATACGTTATAATATCTAGTTTTGTCAGCAGCTACGGATATTAATTCTTCATAACTGTTTCTTGTAGTGAAACTGCATAATTTTCAATAATCGTGATAGTTGTTTATCAACGAAAATCAACACAGTTAGATGACATTAATATTAAAATCAACACATTATTAAAGCTTGACGTATATTTCTTGCTAAAACTGCGATTCATCCAAGGGTATTCGCCACTCAGTCCACAATATAAACAGTTACATATGACAGAAAATTAAGCATAACTAGTTAAATTCGATCCTTTTGTTTCAAATACCCAGCTTTAATTTTACAGGCGCTCGAATATGATATTTAATATCAAGCCAATATGAGCATAGGGCTCCATCTTGATTGGTTAAGAGCTTGTGCTAAATCACGTGACTGTTGGACTAATCACAGGCCCGGAAAGTAAAAATAAACTATACCAATACCAAAATTGGGCATTTTTGCCACTCCCATTTGGAAAATAATGTGAAACATGTTCATTAACATATTTCAAGTTTTATACACCACAGCCCAACGCAAATGCATTTCTCATAATCTGCCTCATGACTTTGCATTTATTTGAAAATTCAGTGTTGCAAACCTCAACACGAGAACGTTTAAAATTGTATTCTTAGTTTTAGTAACAATCTTCTAAGTTTGTTTGATCCTGTGGTTTAGATGTTTATGACATCTAAGATTCATTTTTTCCAGGCCACCATTCATGGTTAACTTAACTTCAATGATAATTGTTTTTAGTGCATTGCAAAAGCAAGTAAAATGAATTGTTCTATGTTTGCCCTTGTTTTAGGTCAGTTTGTATCTGCTCCGCCTAGTTTTGCGCGAGTTGTTTGAATTCCGATTCATGCAGACAGATCCAAATTGGTCAAACTTCTTTTATAACCAAGAAACTGATCAGGTTCGTAAATCGATCTTACGCAGTTGTTTTTAACGTTGACAAGGACTTTAGGTTTAAAATATTTTGAGTGTGAGTTGTAGAAGGAACTTTTTCCCCTACGCAATTTGGTCGATCAATTTTCTTTACGTCTCTGATTGATAAAAGAAATGCACTGTTTTGATACCATGCCATATTTTCAGATAATGAGTATATATTTTGATTTTTGTGCAGATAACACTGTTAGATTTTGGTGCTAGCCGAGATTACCCTAAAGGATTTGTTGACAGTTACATAAAGGTAACGAAATACTTAAAATTATTTTTATTTATTCTTTCAAACTGTCTGCGAGAGAAAAGTGATTTGCTGATTGCTTTATCAAAGCTCTGATGTTAGAATATGATCGCACAGTTCTACCAAACAGGATTCATTTCACATCACATTGTATTCCGTACCAAATAAATTTTCTTTATTTATATCAGCAATCCTTCCCAGTTAGTAATCTTTAGCCACCACAGTAAATCAACAATAAATCTATTCGCTAACAAGTAAAGAATCAAGACTTTGAATGCAATTTTATTCATATTAACAAAATTTTGTGGTTGATTACTCAATTTTTTTAAGAAGGTACAAAGATTGATTGGCTTGAACAAAGGAGATTGCTAAAAAGAAAATATGATTTTGCTGAAAATTTTACTAATTTTTCGTTTTCGTAGGTCATACACGGCGCCTCCCAAAATGATCGGAAAACAATTCATGAAAACTCAATAACCCTCGGATTTCTCACTGGATATGAAACTCAGGTAATTTGATACCCTAATATTGATTGCTGACCGCTTTAATAATGATATTTTAAATATGCATTCTTTGGTAGACTCATACTGATTTGTTAAATAATTTCTACTCTCTTTCTCTCCCTCCCCTTGTTCTCCTCCTCTCTCCTCCTCTCTCCTCCTCTCTCCTCCTCTCTCCTCCTCTCTCCTCCTCTCTCCTCCTCTCTCTCCTCCTCTCTCTCCTCTCTCCTCCTCCTCCTCCTCTCTCGCTCCTCCATCCTCTCCTCCTCCTCACCTCTCCTCCTCTCTCCTCCTCTCTCCTCTCTCTCCTCTCTCTCCCTCCTCCTCTCTCCTCCCTCTCTCCTCCCTCTCTCCTCCCCTCTCTACCCTCTCTCCTCATCTCCCCCCCTCTTTCCTCTCTCCTCCTCTCCGTCTCCTCCCGCTCCCTCCTACTCCTACTCATAACACCCCCCAAAAAACCCCAACCCCCAACAAACCCCAAAAAAGCCCCCTCCAACACACAACCCTCTCCTTTCCATTCTCTCCTCCTTCTCTCCCCCCTCTCCTCTCTCTCTCTCTCCCCCCTCTCTCCTCCTTCTCTCCTCCTCTCTCCTCCTCTCTCCTCCTCTCTCCTCCTCTTTCCTCCTCTTTCCTCCTCCTCCACCTCCTCCTCCACCTCCTCCTCCACCTCCTCCTCCTCGTCTCCTCATTCTTCTCCTCCTTCGTCTCCCCATTCTTCTCATCCTTCTTTATACCTTTTGATCTGGCCTGTCCATGTGGTTCGAACATCCAGTATAGTCCCATCCACCCTGATTACTCTTAATTCTCAAATGATTGAAAGCATAAATCTCATCAGCAGTCCCTTGACCCTGAGGCCGGTGATATTTGGCGTTGGTTGTTAAAACAGTCATAGCCCTTTTTCTATCATTCAAAAATATGGGCTTCCTTCTCCTCCTTTTGAACGAAGGGGGTGTCAACAGAGTCCACCCAAGTGTCAGCCACCGGTCATTATCTCGTGTTTCCAAAGGAATTATCGGTTACTGCTAAATGAGCAGTATCTGGTATAGTAATGGGCGATATTTTCCTTTGTAATTGAGTTCTTTGCAGCAAAAACAATAACGTGGAATTTGTTTTCCAGCTTATGGTGGACGCTCATGTGGATGCTGTAATGACAGTGGGTGAGCCATTTCAGAACTACGAGCCGTTTGATTTTGAAAAGCAAGATACGGTGAAAAAGATCCAACAGTTAGTCCCTGTGATGCTGAAGCATCGACTAACACCCCCTCCGGAGGAGAGTTATTCACTTCATCGCAAACTTTCGGGAGCTTTTCTCCTTTGTTCAAAGTTAGGGGCTAAGATTAGTTGTCGTGAAATGTTTGAAGAGGTTTGGGAGAATTATAAGTTTGATTGAGTGTTTGATTTTTATCTAAAAAAATGCACCATACAAAAAAATGATAACGGCAGTAGTTGCGTGATGACGTCATCAACATCTGTTTTTTGAATTGTTACATTTAGACTATATGATCTGAATAAGCACTATAGGATACCTCAAGATTTGCAAGATCAGTTGATTCTATCACAAATAGACTGAGATATGACCTATGAAAGACGTTAAGGCTATGTTAAATGGCTATAGCTCAGTAATTTTTTATATTTTACGCACCTTTTCGCAATGTAGGGCTATTCTATGCGGCCTTTCAAGTTATATCGTACAAATTAAAAAACTCAAAATAGATTTTTCTGACGTCATTTCTTCACCACTCGTTCATGTAGTCATTTAGATCATTCTACCATTTTATCAAGGGATCATTTCTGAGTTTTGTTTAATTTTGGTGAGGTCAATTTAATTAACAATACAGTTCACCGTAAAATTTACATATTTATTATTATTTTGTGTCTAGAAAGAGTGATCATTAGTGTCAGAAATCCATGAAACCTCTTAATCAGTCAACGAGAATATTGTTTTCTAGCACTTTTTTGGTAAATTCTTTTTGTATACATTTTGTGCCAGTACATATTTTAGCTGAGTTGAATTTTTTTTGAAATACTTTCACTCATAATATTCTTGACCCTTCGATAAACATATGTTAGATAGAGTTTGAAAATCAAACTCTGGGTAACGTATGAAGACATATCCACCCCTTTGTCGCGTGTGAGATTGATCTTTTTATAGTTATTTAATTTCTAGGTGCATAATTTTTATTGCAGTATCCGTCGGGTTTACCTAGGCTCGTTTTTCTGAGTGCGAAGGTTTTAGACTCCCTATAAAGGTCCTCTTTTAATAAAAGCTCTTAATTTTAGGTTTTCATTTGCTTTTCACTTCTTGTTTCGTTTAGTTTTCAGACACACGGCTTTATTAGTTCACAAACCGGGGTAAATAAATCATTTTAGCTTAATTCTTGTACCAGCCCTGTCTCCTTATGGCACTGCCTCTATTGCAAACTAAAGCTTTATTTCCAGCTTTTTTAAGATTGTATTATTCTGTTTCTTCATCGTGTGTATGATAATAAAACTTATTGTGAAAATATAATGATAATATGCTTTGAAATTGTTAACATTTCTCTGAAATCTCTCTTCAATTAATACTTCCTTTGAGTGGGTTTTGAAAACCGTAAAACTTTTACCCTTTGGATATTGAAAATGGTTTTCAGTATATTTGCATACGAGGTTTTATTAAATATATTCGTTTTCACAGTTCACAGAATACATCGACCCTCCTACGCATGAACCTTTGCCCTACTCGCCTTTGTCAAAACTTTCCTTGTATCTTTGTACACAAATTTCTTAGAAATGGAATTGAAGTACAATCATATATGGTTTGTTAGTTATGCATTGGCCTTTCTCAAAACTACTGCATCGTTCTGTTGAACCTTGATACTTTCTGGACTCTATTTCATTTTATCTTTATTCAAAAAGGGCTTTTACTTTACAGTAGAATCCCATTTTAACGTACTCGGTTATTACGTACTTTCGGATATAACGTACCGTTGTGCTTGGTCCCGGCAAAAGGTGTGCTTGGTTTTAGTCAATTTTTACTTACCCTCGTTACAACGTGCTTCGGATATAACGTACTTAATACGCTGGTCCCTTAAAGTACGTTATAACCGGATTATACTGTATTCTAAATACGATATAATGGCTGAAATAGTCTACATTATTGCATCCATTACAAAAAACTGTGTTTCTTTATGAGGTCGACAGCCAGAGGTAAAGGGAAACATAATCCCAGCAAGCTCACAGTTTCTGAATATAATTATTATTTCATCGTTTAACAATAAAAATTCTGATTGGTGAACTCTCCGGAACTAATGTGAATTCACATGAATACCATAAAATAAATGTGCTAATCTTGCTGGGTAAAGAGAGTTTTGGAGCAACATAATGACTTGGTCGATTCTAATAAATCTATTCAAAACATCTTATAGCAAAACTATCATTGATGAGACACAGACGTTACCCAAAGCTGCAGATTCGGCATCAGACTATAAAACTATAAGGGTACAACGAGAGTTCCGATTAGAGGTTAACGAGAGGTGTTGGTACTGAAGAGACAGTCTGGCCATTCTGCACCACTAGCTATTAAAGCTGAAGAGATGAATTCTGAGGTAGTTCCTTCATCACTGATCCACTCCACACTGCCCCAAGGCTTCGACAACGCTTGCATCGGTCGTGGTTGCATCTATCCTCATCACTGTGCAGGTTGTGAAGGATAAGTGCCATACGGATTGTACCAACCATAATAACTACCAGCCTACAAAGTGAATGCCGGTCGTTAGAAAGGCTTTTGCATAAGATCATATGGTTAAAGGAAAGGGAAAGTTCAAATAGGGCCAAACTATCACAATGTTCGGCTGAAAAAGGCAATTCACTAGAAAGCCCCTCTAATTTTACCACGGAAAAACTGGTTGCACTTAACAACAGTGGAGAAGGGTTTTCGGTATCAAAACATTGATAAACTAAATTCGCCCGACGTTAAAAGTCAAACTGAGTTAAAAATCTGAGTTAAAAGAAAGCACAAACAGTGAAGCGTCTTATGTATAGAGCTATGAGCATAAATGCATCTTCCAGGCAAACTAAATAGGCCAAGATTGACTTATTTGTTAACATTATACGCTAAAAAACTGATTTTCTAAATATCATTTCTTGCATTTCATTTCTTGGTACCGAACCTATTACTTATTGCAATTTAATTTTGACAAATGAAATTGTATGCATTAATGATTTATTAATGCATCTAAAATGCCACTTTTCTTTGCCTGAAGATAGGCAATGGTCGTGACTTGAAAAAGCCATATTGACTAAACTAGCTAGATCTTTATCTTGGTATCAGCAACCAACGTTAACCTTCTTTGAACCCCCATTTTTCCGGACAAATGGCCTAAGTCTGATTGAATCAAAGTCTTCAATTTCAAGCTTCACCAAATACAAACACTCTAGACATAAATACGATATCCTTGTATGCCTGGTTACAAGGCAATTAATCAGATCAGTAAAAACACGTACGGTCTGGGCAGCTGCGTAGGCGTTCCACTGATTAGGCATTGCTGGATAGGCGTAGGAGTTTGCGGGTGACATCACCGCAGTATGATCTTGCGGGGCGTATCCATGGTTAGCGTAAACGTTATTAGTAGCTGCGGAGGCACTTGTCTGGGATTCATCAGTTTTAGATACCTTGGGTATCGTGGCCTCGTTGCTGGAATAACAAAGACTGGTATATTCGATATGAGAATAAGTAACAAAATACACAATAAATGGCTCATCTTCGAGAATCAATACGGTATACAGAATATCAAAAACCAACCCAGGAAATTCCTTGATATACACCGACCAATCATATCATTCCCACGTATACAAGTAAAGAACCCTGTTAGCAAATTCAACTTAGATTTTCTATCCACACTACCAAATTGCATTACAGACTTGATACCTCTTAGCTTCATCTGAAGCTTCACACTTTGCAAAGAGCTATCAAGCGTTGCCAAAGTTATTTTCAATTAGGCAAAAACTGATTCGACTTTATCGTGCAAAAATTGCTATTGGAAATGCTTCCTTTATAAAACTCTTTCGAAGCGCGAAATCAATTGATCTAGATTGGTTTTTCTGCACAACATTATATAATCACTCTTTATCATAAATCTTCCACATTTTTACAAACAATAACAAAATTTACCTGCTACCATTTGTTCGCTTTTTGGGTACAATTGCACCTGGCTTAATTTTGAACTGTTTTTGATACGTATCGTAGGCTTTTACGATGCTGTCAATACTCGTCCCAAAATCTTCCAGTATCTCCAACCGTCTTTGCAGAAATCCCTGCTTGAATTCCATTGACAGTTCACTTCTACCTTCAACCAAATCACACAGCTCTTGCAGGCGATCTTCAGCGATTTCGTTATTATCAGTTTCAAGGTCAAGCAAATTCAGATACAGTTTCTTGTTTGCCTAAAACCAAAGAGCGCATTATCACATCACCTGGTAAAATAATAGCTTTTGAAGCCGGGCAGGCAGATTACATTTTTGAGATGCTCATAACTCCAAGAATCTGGCAATATTACATTCCTAAAGATCTACACAAATTGTATACGTACAGTTAAAGGCAACATAGGTGACTGTTTTAAAATGGTCACCTAGAAACAAATGGGGGTGGAGCTGTGAAGCTATGTCCCTTTTATATGGCGGCTACTGTACCTCTGTATTGTCATTCTTTGCAAGGGGTGAGTTAGCTAAGTATGCAGAACGCAGCTATTTCCTTACCTTGTCATTTTCGACTGCTTCGTGTAAAAGCTTTCTTGCCGAGTCCTTGTCGTGAAGAAGCTATAAAGAAATACAATAGTAAATAAAACATGCAAGAATATGATAATATTTGTCAAAAAGTGCTAAAAATACAAAAATTAACAACATTATCTTATATTTGGTGCTACAATAAAAGGATTATAAAACCCTTTCAAAAGTACAAGACCAAAAGAAAAAAAGTGCAACTAAAAACGCATTTGTGCGTGAGGCAAGCTAAGGAGGCATTATATTCACCTTGTTATAATACTTCGCACACTTGATAGCAAGAAATGATTTCTCGTCCACTGAATCAGTCTCCTCCATTACTTTTCTCAAAATCTCTATTGCCTTTTCTGTACTTCCGATTCTTCTTTCTAACCCAACACGTCGAAGCGTCACCATAATTAGGCCTGGCATAGCATTTTCCAAGGACTCCAAAATCTCTCGTGCCAAACCGATATTTTGCTGGCTTTCTTCAAATGCAGCCCAGCTCAGGATAATATCTGGCTTCTTCGTTAGGTGTATCGTGCACGCACGCTCATATACATCGTGTATTTGGGTGACAGAGTGATCATCAGCCATACTTTCGAGGTAGTTCACATACTGCCAGACAGAAAAGAGGAAAAGTTAGCTCACGAAAATGCTTTGCAAGGCAATCGTTTAGATATAATCAAATACAAGTTGTTCTGAATTGCTCATGACATACGTGGGGAGATTCAAATTGTGACGGAAGTCTGAGTAGCCATGCTGCATTTCAAATTTAGTTGAAGTAACAAAGTATATATGTGTATATATGTGTTAAGACCCGTTGGTGAATTGCATTGAACAATAATTATATGCTTTGCATTACAATTAGTCCCCCGTTTAAAGGATTTATAACTATGCAGGTACGTACGAGCAATGGTGGCCCCTGTCGGGGACCATGATTGGTTACGTATTTGGAATATTGAAAAAAAGAGTTTTTTATAACTCCCGTTTCTGCCAAAATACGTTTTCATAATTCTCTGCCAAACTGATACCTGTGACAAATTGGTTGTTGAGGAACTTGCTGCTGCTTTCCTGGCCCCATTGTTTCTTACTTCTAGGTTGGAGTGAATGAACAAACTATGCGAATATTCAAACATCAGTGCGGAAATAAACCATACGTTAACTAAAGAAAAAGATTTGTGCTTCCATTAGAAATTCGAAATACCTTTTGCCAAAATTCCTCGTAGAGGGCACAGGCAATAAGACATCTTTCAAAGAGTATGCAAATCCTTTTCTGATCACCCTCTTTGATCTCAAATTCCAAATAATCTCGCCAGTTCCTTAACTGGATTCTTTCTAAGGGCTTGACATGAAAATAAGGTCTTTTAATACCATCTTCAAAGTGCCATCTTTTTTTAATCTCTTCTTCAGTTTGCTTGTAAACCTCGTCTCGTATCGCTATGATCTTTTCTCGTACTGCTTTTAATTCGGCGGTTTCTTCTTTCTGCAAGAAATGGGTACATGGATAAAAAATTTTTTTTGTATTGTGATGATATATGCAGGGGAAATTCTGAAAAGGCTATCAGCTCAGGGTTATCAGCTCAGGCACGATGGAATCGTCCATAAAGATCGATGTCACTTTTTGGAACTAAGAACACAGACTGGTACCTTAATTTTTTTCATTTCTTTGCAAAAATGCGAACTTAGTTCAAAATGAAGTAGGGCAATTTGCTTGACATTCATACTGGTCACTTTTCTAGCTTCGGCCCCAATGAAATGGCCCTCTTGTCCCCTTGCCTCCTTAAAGTGGACATCATGCGACCATACTTCCCAAATGCCATCATGATTGAGACAGAAAATTAAGATTGGTAAGCTTACCTCCTTGGAATTTCCATCTGAAGTTCCTTCGGCAATTTCTTGACTTGAATCGTCTGGATTTGGATTACCGTTAGAACCGTCTAAATTATTGTGGTCGGTACTATCTCCTGGGGGGTTCGTAGCTTCTTCCCCTGAAAAAATGTATTATGAATACATGTGACCAACCAAGAATGAGAATCTCAATAGTAATTTGTATTTTGTAGTCTGTTGCAAATACAGAGTAGTAAATCAAAAATCTGCGAGTCAAGGTAAAACGTGACATTATGTGGTGCTAGAAAAACCAAAACTGGAAACTTTGACGTCATTGAATAAATTGTTTTTTCATTTTGCTTCATTAACTTGCAAAATACAAGCTAGCACGAAAAAGAGAAAAAAATAATACTATATATAAAAATATGTAGAGAAAAAGAGAAGGCTTTACCTGGTGGGGCAGTAGTCTGTATCATGTCTGCATCGACTTTATCTGTTTGTGTAACGCCAGGTGGAATCGACTCAACTTCACCAACTAATTTCACATAATCCTCAGTACTTAGAACTTCACTTGGCTCAATACTGTTGATCCAGTCTTTAAACCTTACACAAAAAGGTTATTTTATAATAATCAAAGCACACATACCATTAAAAATGCCTCGAAGACGACTTCAAAGTCAGTCACCAGTCGAAGGCTAATAACTTTGCGACCTTATAACTCGAATTTTCGATTTCCCTATTTAATAATCAAGGTTAAAAATCAAGTTGTGGCAATGAAAAGAAAACATCACCTTCTTCAAAACAATGGCCAGGAATAACTTTATGCAATTTTACTAAATTTCTAGTCGGACATTACTTTGAAATGCTATTTTTTCAAATCAATTTTTACTATCTTTAAATCATGTTGTACATAGTAATAAAAAAATTTAATTAATGAAAATGGAATGTTCTTTTAAGATATCGGATAAAAAACGTACTTGGTGAAGTTCTTGATATATTGCTGTGTAGGTGTCGATAACAGTCGGTCGTATAGAGTCAAGACATTTTCCAAATTTCCCTGAGACTTCTCCCAGTCAATATAGGCATCCCAGAGTTTGTCAGAGCGGAATTCCAAACCTGCTGTTTCAATGGCTTTTTCGAAAAGACTGAAACGAGACAAAACCAAATTGGTGATACAAGATGAACCGTGTGAGGTTTCATGCGCTACTTGAATTTAAAATGCTCCAAAACGATTTATCTTTTATTCTCTTAAATTCAAATACCTTCACTGTACCAATTCCTTAAAATTCGTTTTGAAACTCAGTTGACGTCAGCACAATTATACCAATTGTTAATGTGCTGGAATGGCATCATGTGACCATGTGAACATCTGTCTGTCTGCCATCTGATCACGTGGTTGCATGGTTGGGAAAAATAAAACCAGAGAAGAATCAAATAGTCACACTGAGACAAAGCGATGAAACGAGTCAATTTCTTTCGAGTTTGAAACGAGTGCCTCGCTTGGGCGAATCGATCATAATCACACAACTTGCTCACAAGTCCAATACATACTCAGCAAAATTCTGTGATGGCATTAACTTTCCTGAAATAGTCAACATTCTTTATCAAGAACATTCCTTAAAAACTAATATTTAGTATAATTATGTTGGCATTAAGAATGAATTTTGTTTTTCTCTATCAATACATAGTATCTTTATTAGGCTATGGGTGGCTTTGTTAATACATATTTTTTATTTGAAGGTGTGAATCTCGTTTTTACGTTTGATATTTGTGCCAAAAGTTTAGTTCCAATCAAGGATTTTTGGCTCCTTGCTGTTAACACAAAGGTATTGAACTGGTTAAAGCTAATTGTAAATAAAAACTTTGCACAAGCCAATCAAAATCAAAACTGTCTTGAAGTCGTTCCACAAAGTAGATAACCGATGCCTGAATAAAGCATGTACCAATGTTGCATAATAGCACCTTAACAGGCTAAAAACATATTTCTGCTACTTCTTTTGAAATATCAGTCAATAAAAATGTTATTTCCTTGATGCATAGATTTCACTTGAATTGGAACAAAGCAAGCTGAAAGAAAATCGGATACAAGATACACAAAGGAGATCCTTGTATTTCCAAAATTTCCCATAACTACTACCATAATCCATCATAAGCACAGTGCTCAATCTTTTTGTTTTATTCAGTTATATCTGATAATGAACGGTTTTCAAGGTCTCAGGTGGGTAGTGATAGTCTCTAAGTAACAAAAATGGTTTTGAGACAAGATCTTTTCAAATTGTGAAACTCATTCAGGGCCTAATTGATACCTTGTACATAAAACTTTTGGTATGGGGAAAAGCATTCCACAAAATTCAAAGAGCATAACAAATTATGCTGTCACTATTTGAAAAGAATGCCCTGCTGGTACTTCTAAAATGCAACCAACCAATAAGTACAGTAAAATGCGCACAGGTCATTAATGATTGTACCATATAAAAATTGAGCTTGATGGGTCTTAGACTCTACTTTTAGCAAATTTGAGTTTCTAGAACTATTAAATGCCAGTATCTGGAACAGTACAAACTTAACTGCATATGATAAAAAAACAGAAACAGTAAAATAAATTTTTTTGACAACAAATATGTCATCAAGGATATATAAAAACAAGTTCAAAATAATTCAAAATATAGTTAAAAAAAAACAAAAAAATTAAAGCCAAGATGTTCGTAGGCTTGCTACGGAAAGCATGCTTAGTTATAAAATACTTTTATGCAAAAGAAAGAAATCCTTTTTAATAGAACAGCACCTAGATTCATCATCAAGTCCTGATTATCCATTGCAGTACAGCAAGACTTCAAAGTTCAGATCAACATTGTCTTATTATGCTGATTTCCAGATGTGATCTCATTTTACATATCAATTAGTCTCATGTGACAGATCAATTATTTTACCAAGCTGTATTTCAATTAAATTTTATCAGCCTATAAAATTCAATTATATTTTGGCGTTTCACAGCCTCAAAAAACCAACAAAAGTAGGAAGAAGCGTTATCAATGAGTGGCTGCGTATTTTTCAATATGTGGATATTTGCACAAGCTGAGGCCATTATTAAATTAAAATTGGTAGAAAAAGTGGAATGATGAAGTTACTTGGACTAAGACAAAGTATTGTGGAAAAGAACTGCCTGAGATTGCTATGCCCCTTGGGTGGTTGGCCAGAAACTGTAGTCAGAAAATAACTTTATATTTAATTACAATTACTCTTTCTAACTGTAAATTTGAATTGAAAATAGGTTGCATTAGCCTGCTTGGAAAAATCTAATTCAATTTTCCTCTTGAGATCAACAATAACTTAGTAATAAAACCATGTGTTCTCTCTCATGTCATAAATATCATAGTCCGCAACAAGCATAATATGAAAGTATAAGGAACTTTTCTTAGCACTGGCAGACATCAAAATGACTGAGAACAACACATCTATTGCAAATATACTGCATTTTTGTAGCAGTCTACTCCTGACAACACACAAGCTACAATTCAAGAACATAAAATAAGCAATACATAATTGAAAACATATACTTACGCTCTAATTTTTTCTGCACCATTGGGTTCCTCCTTAACATACTGTGACACAAAATTCAAATAATGAATCCACAAATCTATGCTGAGTGGTATGGCCTTAACTCCAGCACTATATACCTAGATGTAAATAAATAAAATTGATTATATATCTGTTTCCAAATGAAAAGTTTTCATACAAGTTCAAAGTTATCAATTTGCTATGATTTAAAACTGTTTAATTGCTCTTAAAGAGTGAAAAGTATTCATTATACAAAGCATTCATTTTAAATGAAAAGCATTCATTTTAAATGAATCATTTAAAGTTAGGATTGCTTTATAAACTAACCTTCTCTGTCAATTCCAGATTTCCATTTTTCTTTTCAAGATCAGCATATTTTTTCCAATAACCATAACAATATGGGTACCACTTGAAGAACTCTGCATATATTTCCCGTCCTTTTTCAAGTATATTCTATGACAAAAAGAACAAAAAGTAATTACAATATTTGAGACATTTTAAATTAACACCATTTATCATCCTTGCCCTCAACATGGCCCTGGTAAATTCATTTGCCTCAGAAAATGACTGCCTTTGCAAAAAACATGCTTTGTCCACCAGAAATGTGACATAACAAGGCAAGATGAGTACTTCTCTACAAATGAAGTGAATCAAGTGGCTGATGAAAAATATTTTGTTTTACCTTTAGCCTTTTTCAGGCATTCTATTTGCAATGTTGACATTTATCTTGAATTTATTTGAATAAAGAGCCATTGAGGAACTCAAAAACTAAGAAACTGTAGTCAGAAATGTTACAAAATCATTTTCAAAATATAGCCTCACTCATTGCCAGGATCTTAAGAACTCTATTTAGTTGTTTACATGGTTGAAAGGATATTTGCCTCTACCATACAAACAGCATAAGAAAGGGAAGCTATTTTCACAACCATTCATTAAGGCATTTTTATGTTGTAGAACGCCCATTTTAAACAAGTCCTTGCTTTGTTTTTCATACAAGAAATGTATTGTAAGAAGATATGTATTAAGCCTTAAAAGACTTTTTGCTAGATTATAGTCTAGGTTAAAATGGAATGACAGCCAGCACATTTGTTCAGCAGCACATTATAAAACTAAGTTTCTACTCATGACGTGTCTGCTTTAAATTGAAAAACTAGATTTGTAAAAAAGATATTTGTCATGATTCATTCTAGATATCAATCTAAGCTTTTGGTCTATAGAACAGTTCTCAGTTATTACTTCAAGATTTGGGCTTAATGCGATCATCAGGCAACTTTTAAATTACTCTACTTGCTATCTAAGGGTTAAGTTGAGCAAAAATGAGATTTTTGCAAAAAGTAAGTCAACTACCTCTTGATCGATTATCTGCAATAAACATGTCCAACTTGTAAAATCTGATGGGCATTCTTTGACGGCATTCCAATATTTTGACAGTTTTTCATTCTCACCAGGTGCACATTCCTCTGTAGTTTCCTTAAAAAAAACAAAATAGATTCTGCTGCTTATGCTTGTGCAGAAACAAATCATTTTCCAAAATAGCAGGTTAAGGTTACGGTTAACCTTTCTGACATGATATCTGGTTTTCTCTCCCTAAAAGCAAAACTATTAAGAGAATCAGATTAAACTATACTTCATTCAATGCACAAGAACATGGTGATTCCAACAATATGAAAATAATTGGCAAATACTGTAAAATGATACTTTCCAGGCAAATTTATTGCTTAAATGAGTGTACCACGTTCAAAAGCTATTTGTAACCTCGTGTTTGCGGTAACAAAATCTGACTTATATCAGCAGCAAGTGCAGGTCCTTAGCTACCAAAGCATGTCTCAGATTTTTCAAATTCCTCCTCCCTTGAAACTATACCCTGTCAAAAATTAGCAAGTATTTTTTCTTCTCTCTCATAGCTGTATTTGGCTATAAGAGACGGACCAGAGCAAATACAAAAATTTTGAGACACAATTTATTTAGCAATTCAATTGGTTGCTTGGGCACAAAATAGCTTTTTAGTACCTGTATGTAGAGTAATTGTAAGTCTGTAGAAAACGGGATTTTACTGACCACGCTTGCAAGGTACACTCATAAACCACAGTGTAATCCGGGTCAAGTCACATGAAGCTTTAAGATCAATAAGCCTGTTTAAAAAAAACACAGCCCTACATGGAATACATGGATGTGCCATGCGATATTGTTAATGAGACAACTGCAAAGCAGCGATAATCTGCTTAACAGGTCAAGCGATATTTAGACCTCAACTAAAAGTTTTGATAAAGAAATTATGGAAACCTTGTTTACATGAGATCCAATTTTCAAAATTTCTGTTAGTTTCAAATTTGGTATCATTATGTGTCTTGAATGTTCGGCTACTTGAATGTGAACAAATCAAAAAATTGATGTTTTCATCCAGAAAATGTTTACTGTAACCTTAAAGCTGCGGGCTTTTCACACAAACGCCTGGGCTGCAACAGCCCAGGTAAAAATGTATTTGCAAGATACATCATGTAAATATATTTAAAATCCTAGTCATTTCAGACCTGCGAGTCATGTCAAATTGCATTTTTACTAATCATATGGCATACAAACTGATTTTTCCATTCAACTTGCATATTTAGGCCAATATTGACAAATTCTGTGGTGCACCAAAAGGTGCCATCGTTATCATATTCAAAAATGGCTTTGAGAAAGCAAACATTGCGAGTTATGCTAAAGCTTTTCTTCAGAGCATAAAACGTCAGAACAAAGATTGAAAACTATACGCTAGGCAATATATAAACAGTCCATCCTGAATTATCCGAACCTTGTTTATCCAAACCTCGTTTACATCATTTTGGCATCACAAAGTCCCAATTTGAAAACATTACACATCAATAACAATACAAATTTCTTAAAAGTGGTCGTGCAGTCGCACAGTCAGACGCGTGAACTTGCCCACACAAAAAACATAGTTTCCAGTCTGGTTCGCGGGAAACGTTTGTTATCCGCAAATTTCAAAATTAGTGCTCTGGTGTTCCCTGCACAGAAAAAACTTTACAGTCTGGCACTCTGCAGTAAAGGAACTTTGCAATAAATCTTGGCTAATGTGCACAGGAAGATGACACTCCACCTGATTTTTTCTCAGGCCTTGAAATGCATTAATTATTGGTGTATTATTTGCCCAGGGCTGTAGCCCTTGGGGGAACTCCTCCTTGTAAATGCCGAAAAGTAGCCAATTTCTACTTTGGATATAATTCTTTTGCGCTAGAGTCATTTCGATGGCACTAAACCCCGTATTTGCCATAATTTGAGGAAAGGTTCATAATAATGACTAAATGCAATATTGAAAAATGAAATGATCATTTCATGTAATAATGTGATGATGAATATGTGCAATCATAAAACAAAATAAAATGAAGGAACAGAATGCGTTTTCTGCTGTAACATAACATTTCCAATAATGTTTTACGATTCAGTGTCAAATTAAGTTTTTTTAATGCCATAGGGACGTCCCTGAAAGGCATGTCTGTAATTCAATCGTCCACGCCTCGGTCGACGCCATTTTGCCAGAAACCTCTGTTGGGGTATTTTTGTTCTAATAAATCGTTTTTATAGTGACTCTTTGATTATAAATGTAGGTTAATGAAAGTCTTTCGTCCTTACCATTGTTGCTTAGTTGAGAAGAATTCAAAGTCAACTGCTTTCTCCACGACACCTTATCTACTCAATCGCGGTCGGATAAATACTTTATGTAATCAACACCAACTACGTTCAACGCGGCCTCATAGCGAAGCGGAGGCACTGCAAAAAGCGCCAAATTTGATTGAATCGATGTGTTTCACCCATCGAAATGGTTTCACCCCACTGATCTTTTTTATCAGTGTTTCGAACTAGAGTTGAAGGATGTTGCCGAACATATCAAAGCTAATTCGTCGACATTACAAGCCAAAGTTTCATCTCTACAAAACAAAAGATGTAGAGGCTCTATCATGGACGGAAGATTTGACAAGTCCAGTATGAATAGAAAGTTATTTGTGTTCAATTTTGTTATTACAAACATAATGTCATAAACATATCCAAATCAGTGTAAGATAGTCAACTATAAAACGGGTTTCTAGGATAATGTTTTACAATATGCATAGGCTATGTTTTACTTTTAATCATTGCATTATCTTATCTCAGTTATTATTATATGGCAAAAATCGTTGATCATAAAATTTCACTTAGAAATGTTTGATGCTGCACTCTCAAAATGCTAGATATTCATTTGTTGAACTTGATATTTTGACTTTGTTTTTCTTCAAACATTTTTTCTAAACAAAGTCTTGCTTTTACATTTTGGGGCACCATTACCTCTTTTTGTTCCAGAGAGTTCAAGAATGTATAAAAGCTGAAAGCAGGTTAGCATTTTTGCATTTAACTTTGCTTGCAAGTCGCACATTGTGTTCAAAAGCTTATGGCTATAAATTTCGTGACAGGATAGATTGTCCCTTTATGTTTAAAAAATGACAATTTCCTTAATATTGACAGCAACTGACTGAACTATTGAAGATTTAAATAACTTTGTAGTTCTTTGTATTTGTTTTTACCTAGCACCCGAAGGTAGTTTTTAGGACACTGAGAAGCCTATCCTTATTGAACAGTGTCCTGGTCCTTCCTCTCGATGTGTCCACACCTCTTGATTCCTATGCCTAAAAATACAGAGAACTTTCCTCACCATGGGTGAAAGTTTGGTCATGCCAGGGACACGAACCACGGACCCTTGGGTCTGCAGTCAGCGCCTCTAACAACTGAGCCATCCTCGCACCTGAATTCTAGTTTGTGAAAAGACTCTCAATTAAAAACTAGATTCTCCAACTAAGAATGTATATTAAATACTAAGCATATTTATGTACTAAAAAATGATCTCATATCATAGCTTACAAAGCTATTTCAACCTCTGTACCCTATCTATATATTTTACCAATATACCCAGTATTATTGAAAGTAAAACTGTCTGTAAGTGAAAGAAACACATTTTTCTTCAGATATGCAAACATGCAGTTGCTAAGTACAAAGATTTTCCAGCTGAGAGTGAGAAGGTATTTGAAAAAGATTTCTAAACAACAGTTGGGTGGCACCAATGAAACTGGGTTCAAAGAGGTATCATTGTTTCATTTTTGTATGCAAAAATCTGCATGCTGTTTTGATCTGTCCTACTTTTGGTTTAAAACAGTGATTCTTTTGTTGTTTTATTGCTATGCATTGATTGAATTACCTAAATGAATAGCACTTTTCCATTTTATAATGCAACACGCAAGTAAATATACATTGATTAGGTAGAGAAAAGTATGTAAGCTAAAAAGTTTTGTTTTAAAGAAAATGAGGTTAAAGCATATGAGTATTTGCATGTTGTTCTTTTTCAATTTAGTGCATCGGTACTTGCTTGTGCTTCTTATTCACATCTTGTCTTATTTTAAAGATATTTTGTCATAAAACTGTCATAACTATAATAAAACTTGAAAATTGTTATTTTAGTTTTCAGGATCATATATTTATTATGAAAAAAAGTCTGGAAGTTCTTTGCCATCCATCTACAGAAAACATGCAATATCAGGTTAAGAATTGACAAGTCTATTTAAACCCAAGTTCTCCTTTTAATGACTTGCTCTTGGCGATTTTTTTTTGAACATGGAATTAGTTCTACATCACACTGTCTCTTTTTTAAACCATTTTTTACCTTTGAATGCATCAACATTTTATAGCTGGATTTCTAAATTTTGCATTTATTTGCTTAGATTTTCAACTCCTAATCCTTGTAAAACGTCATTTTTTTTGTAGCTTCTTTGTTGATTTCTATCATCTAGGAGATGAACAACTGCTTTTGGATCAGCATGAATTGGCTTTAGAAACAGGCTTTGTGCAACTGAATGCTTTAAAACCATCTCCCTCTGGCATGGTAAATCATATCTTATTGAGTTAATTTCTCCATTTAAAATACCTTAGAAAATAGGTTCCACTGACTTAAGCATAAAAAGGAATTTTACTGCAACTTAATTTTGCCAGGCTTTTCTTTATCTGAATAGCATAGGCATAGGAGATCAATGTACTGGGAGGACTGTATCCCCCATAGTCAGGCTTGACCTAAAAATCGAGTATATCTTTTTAAACTGTTGTGCTAGATGGCTTTAACCTTTGAGTCTGTTGATGTAGCAATGACCTTTTGTCTTCATCACCTTTTGATCTTCTGGTTCTAGTTCATGGCAGCCATTATAAGAACTGATGTCACCACAGAAATTGGCAGCTGCTACATTTACAACCTAGAAAAATCCAGACCATGTCTACTGGGAAAGTTATCAGATGTTATGGCAGTAGGTGGGTTCTGTGTTATTTAATTCCTGTTAAACTCTTCTTTCTGAAGACGAAGATTTGTCATGCTATTTCCACTGTAATAACTATGATGCCTGAAGCCAATTTACAGTTTGAAAGAATTTTGGCTATCACATCTTGAACAGACCTCTCACAAGTTTTGCCTAAAAGTGAGTTTCAGAAGGAATAAGTGTTTTTGGGAAGGAATATCATGCAGTTGCTCTTATTGGTCTGATCTAGCCATCTGACTAGCAAAAAAATATCTTGGCACAAGTAATGCTGTTCTCAAGGGTTAAATACTTTGAATTTAAAAAAGATTGTGATTAAAATCAACAACAATAGAAATAGAGTATGCAAGGTAAGTTTTTTATTTTATGTATTAAATGGTGTAGAATTTCATTGTCTAGTATTTTGCAAAATCAACATATATGATTCATTTGCAGAATGGTGCAATGACAATAAAAGCCTGATTGTTGGTATCTCAAGTGGAATTGGTTCTGTAAACAAAATCAAGATGTTTTGCATTGACAACAGTAATCAGAATCAATTGTTAATTGAAAATGATCCCAGGTACAGTTGTAAAGTATTTCAGTTGCATAAGTATTTCAGAGACCAAAGACTGGATCATAGTTCCCCCTACTTATAAAAGAGCCAATGCAGGCTAGGTAAATTATAATTGACTATTCACCTTTTTGCTGGACCTAATGTCAACAAAGTGATTAACAGTTTTTCCAAAATTTTTTTACTTTTCTTCTTTATAAATCTAAAGTACAGTATGAGCAAGCTCTATCTCCAGTATTAAAGCTTTAATCCATTAGGTGAAAAAATAGTTACCCAAATCATGAATGAAATTGCAAGCAATGACTTTTATGACTTTCATCAATCAAACTTTCCTTTTTTTCTAGATTTTCATTTGATCTTTTAAAAACCAGGGATTCTAGATTCATCATTGCACATTCAAACTCGAAGAATTGTTCAGAGGTATTGCAATACATAGCTTAACCAATATATTATGAGCTTATACATTTTGAAATCATACTTTTTATCCCAAAGAAGTTAATTTTCAAGTGCTCTGTTATTGTTTTAACAATATTTGAAACAGTGTCAATATTATAGTCATTTTTTCAAAAGAAAATTAGCTGGGGCTCACCAAAGAAATTCACATTGATAAATCAAAGCTTTTGGTGAGATAAAGATCCTGAAAAATGAGAAAATCTTTTGACTGGACTTTGAAAATTATATATTGATTTTTTCCTAGGTCCATATTCTTGATGCCAACAATCCCAAGCAAGGTTTTAGATGTCTTGTTAGAAAAGAGGAGAATAGTGAGTGCTTTGTAGATCACTGGGATGATCAGTTCTATGCAATAAGAAAGGGTAGAAACGATGAAGATTATGGGGTAAGGTCATCAATAAGTTAATATATTTTCTGATAGTTTATAAATATCATAGCCTAACATCAAGGAATGTTCTTGTATTATGAGATCGGTTGATAAATATTTTCAAGGAATGAGCTATTAAAATTATATTCTTCATTCTTCACTAATAGCATGTTATTTACCTGGTCTACCTATGCTCCAAAAAGATGTGGGTTTTCATATCCATTGAAAAAGTTGTGTTGTTTCAATGTCTGTTAGGTTATGTGATGGATTGCATTAGGTGCCTCTCTCTATTCGTCAGGACAGATGTTTTCAATCCAGAAAATTTTGCTGATATCGTTGGTTTGTTTACTCAGGCCTTTGATTTTTCAAAATGCCTCTCATTTGCCACGTTAGCTCTCAAATTTTGAAGAAGCAAGTTCCCTTTATCCAGTTGCACTACGGAGATTCGTGATCATTAACTTTAAGAATGTATTACGTTTTTTCCAAAGTTAACTTATAAATACGAATGTTACAATTCATATAAAATGTTTTGTAACATCATTCTAAACGATTAGCACATGAGTGTATATAGAAACACAATAGTGATACTGCAAAGGATGTGTTGCATTTTCCTTTTGCAGCCAATTCTAATCAGAGAAAACATGTAAAAACTGAACAAAATGTATGGAAGTTGAATAAATATTAAGGTGATGATGAACATTTCTGTATTTGTATATTCTTGAGACAATATGCAGTGGAACTCTATTTACGGACACCCCTCAACAGCGGACACCTCTCAATAACGGACACCTCTCAACAGCGAACACCTCTCAACAGCGGACAAATACATCTAAATGGACAAAATGCTAATAAAGAAACCTCTAAACAACAGATGCGTCTTATAACTGACAGTTACACTGGTCCCAATGGTTTCCGTTATATTTAGGCTCCACTGTGTTTCCTTTGCTAATTCTAGCTTACTAAATCTAATAAGAAAACTAATTAGGAAACAGAAACTAAAGAGGTATCATTTGTTTTAACGCACTTGGTTTCGAGTCTTTTCATATGTTACAATGAAATACTCATGAAATAACTGAAAATGAGTTTCACTACAAATTTTTCTCTCTATTCTGTGTTTATTTTAATTTGGAGCTCTGTACAATATTCAAGGAGACATTATTTAACTTTCACGATATTTTCATTGACACGCTTCACTTAGATCTCAAGACTTCAGGATGGGTTGAATGATAATGACTGGCAGGTTATCTACACCACAAAAAATGACAGCAAAGTAAGTGTTAGGCATGTTATTAGTGATGCTATTTTTTAAATGATACTTTTACGTTTTCTTCTTCTTTTTTGTTCTCCATTTCTTGTGTTACACTCTCAAACTGATTTATAAATGAGTGCCAAACAAAACACTAGTTTATCAAAAGTGGTCTTGTTTCGGACAACAGAACCCGTTCCACCGAGAATTGGGAAGCGAAAAGGGAAGTAAATCGTGGGGTTCAGTTAGACTATCTTAGTTCTACTATTTTATCTTGATATTATTCTGGATCACTGTAAATTTTAATACAGCGTTTGGAAATCTCCAATTGTTTCCAGAGCATGATTTTTTCATTGAGTGCAAAACTGTAGCAATTCCTCTAAATTTTGCCTTGTAGCAATTCCTCTAAATTTTGCCTTGAGCCCACTAATTTGAAATTCTTTGTATTACAAGTTGCTGGAGATCTTGTCTTGTTAAATCCTGTAATATTCATTGTGATCATCTCTAGAAATCACAATTTAAGTCCATCTTGAATTACTTATTTCTGCTAAAATAGAATTAGCTAAAATGCAAAGAATCTCCAACGATCACATCGTCTCACGATTTCCTAGGGTAACGATTTTATTACTTTGCGCTAGCAATGCGTATTTCTACATTTTACTTTCTATAGAAGTCGCTGCAGGATATGGAAATCTATGCTGATGGCTTGGTCTTATATGAGCTCAACAATCTTATTCCACAGCTAACTTTTATGCCGTTTAATGGAACAAAATGTGCTGTAACCCACAAGGTATTTTTTCTGCCTTACTAATCTCTAAGATTGTTAAAAGTGCTAAGAATTGTGAGAAAGACTTTCATCCTATCGCATGAACCTTGAATAGCAAGACTGTCAGGTTTCGTTGAATTGTAGCTGAGTTGGAAGAAATTTCTTCATCTGGCTTTCCCTTCCAACTTTATCTTAAATATCAGAGAAATCAGCAGTTTCTCTATAATTTCTTAAGCCCCGACTTTCTCCTCCTTGCTTGATCGTAACCCTTTCCTTCAAGAATATGACAACCTCTCCGCCCATATTAAGAAACCATCAAGTACCTCAGCTTGCTTTCTCGAAAAGTTACATTTTCTGATTGTTTTCTTTATTTATTCAGGTTTCAGGTGGCAAGGAATGGAAAAATTAATTAGCCTGACCCTTTATTTAGTCGCAACATAAACGATGTTTAGATTTTCTTTCCAAGCAAAATTTTGAAAGCTTTGAATTATCCAGACTCGAAAATTCTTCAAAAAGAATTCAAAAGTATCATTCAAAAGTATCATCATTCCCAAGATATAAGCAGCTTAAGATTTTGTTGTAACTGTATGGGCGAAATCCAGATTTGATATTCTTGCTGTAAGGGGATTTTCTTGTTTTTATAATCGATTCAAGTAAAATAGTAAATTTTTGAGGGTAATGGTGCACATCAGCCCAAGGTGATGATACGTCTCCACTATTTTCAGCAAGGTTTATTTTTTAATTGGTAATAATTCAATGGGAAAATGTCGAGATGTCGAGGGAGGGGTGATATTTTTGGTGAAGCGGTTCGATATGGGATACTATGATTTTCAAACTGTCGCTACGTACACAAAGGTTGACCATGACCGTTCCCTCTCAGAAGCAAGGGCGTTCCATGTTTGTAAAAAAAGTTTTCTGACTATGTAAAAGGGCATTGCTTAGAAATCTCCACTTTGCTATCTTTTTTTCAACAATTTAACTTTGGTAGGCAAGTACCAAGATTTACCGTCGAACATATCTAGATCAACTTTGGCTATAAAAACTTTTTATAACTTGCAGACGGCTGATCATTCTGCAATCATGGAATCGTTCTCCAACCAGGTATTCAGTTTAAATTATCTTAACATCTTTTATTGTTTGATAAAGACTTTGTCAATCAAGTACCTGCTATATTCCGATGCTATTACTACGTATAAGTTTTTATAATACTGTATATTTCTAAGACACTGCTGTTAGGATGAACAAGCATTGAGAACATTTCTTCGTTGACGTCATTGAGAAAAACTTGATGACGTCATTGACTGTATTTTAAGATTTTTTTATATGGACCCTACTACCTAAAAAAGCACTTTTAAATAATCTAAATATGAAAAAATACACAAATCTGTTACGTATTGGTAGAGATGGTGGGGGGGGGGGCTGAGCTGAATACGGGCTCTTCATATCAAACCAATGTAATTTGTTCTCGGTTTTGAAATTTGTGAATCAAGCCAAAATGACAGTGGTCTATAAGTGCAGCTCAGCTCTATTGCATCTGCCATATCTCACTTGCCAGTTTGTTCAACATTTGAAAATAACAAAAATATATATTCGTGACGTCATCGCTTAGCCACTCAATGTAAGGTTGAAGGTAATAAAAACATTACTACAACAATTCAGACTTCTTTGTAAACTTGCTGACCCAAAGAAGTTTGCAAAAGATAGATGTAAGTTCTATGTCTCAATTTCTTAATGTTTGTTTTTTGCAGAACCCTCAGAGTGACACTGTACGGTACACAATTACGTCACCAATACAGCCAGTTAAAGTTTTCGAGTATGACCGAGTGAAAGATACCACGGTATGTTTATTTCATATTATTATATTACTAAATAATTGGCTGTTCCATCTTAACCCTCACTTCACTCTTTCATAAATTGTTTAATCATAATGTAAATGGTTAAAATGGATGATGATATCAATACTTTGAAACAATCTATGATGTACTGACAATTGTAAAAAATAAATTATTTTTAAAGAGAATGCTACTATTGTGTAAGCAACAGTTTTTCACCCCCAGTGGTGATTTTTCTATAGATACTTGGTACAGATTGGGGCACTATACCCGCCATGTCCTGGTTTTTTCTGATTGGTCTTTTTCATTGCATAACTTGGTTTATATATTTTCCAGCTTAACCTTTTCGATCCTCTTCCTAACATTTCTTATAAACTCTGAGATGTGTTGGACGAAAAGCTTTAGCACGTTGTCAAATGTTTGCTCTTTCGAACCCATTTTCAACTTTTACCGCCAAAGAATTTTTCAAAGATATTTTAGCTCTCAAAAATTCAATTTGTTTTGCAAGATTTCTTACATACACAACATACCTATATAGCTTTTTTCGCGATATTTTCTTGTTACGTCAGTCTAAAATTTCGTAAGTATGATCACATGTTTTAACGACACATAATATTTTTGTTTCTGTGAACTACAAAAAATTTATTTTGAATTAATTATTTTAATTTTCTATTGATACACGCAGTTTGATTCAAGTTGCTGAATTTGATAAATTGAATTTCACAAAGTCTTGGCTTTTCAGCGGATGTTGCAAAATGATCTGCCTGCCTGGAACACTTCAGACTTTCGATGGAAACTTCTTAAAGCCAGAAGCAAAGTAAAATAACTTAATCCAAACTATTTGGGGAGATACCTTAAACAAGCTCTTTTTATCTCACAATTTACCAGCTTAATGGAGTATTACATTTTATTGCATTAGATATTGTTATGTTATGATATTTTATGAAGCTAAATCATAACTTATATTATATGTTGTTATAAAATGTATTATCATATCATATCATATCAATCATATCATATCATATCAGATCATATCATATCATATCATATCATATCATATCATATCATATCATATCATATCATATCATATCATATCATATCATATCATATCATATCATATCATATCATATATCATATCATATCATATCATATCATATATCATATATCATATATCATATATCATATATCATATATCATATATCATATATCATATATCATATATCATATATCATATATCATATATCATATATCATATCATATTATATTATATTATATTTTATTACATATATTATATTTATTTTATTTCATGATAGTATGAATTAGTGACCTAAGCTTAAGGAACATTAGCAATTTCTCCCTGATTTGCTAAACACTGAATAATGATTAGCTTTTAATTTAGGATGGAAGGTGCATTCCAATGACAGTTTTCTTCCGGAAAGATATTAAAGATCCCAAGAGATGCCCAGCTTTCATCACTGTATATGGTAAATCATTAAAAGTTTAGCCTTCTATTAACAGCCCCGATGCATTTGATCATACATAAAATAGTTTCTAATGAGAATTTCAGCTTATTTTCTTGACACAGTCCAGGTCCAATTTAAATATGACCATACCACTTAAAACATCTGTGAAGTCCCATTAGCGAAAAGTTTCTTGTGAAAAGTTTCAAATTCTTAATTGAGTTATGTAATAACTTTTTCAAAAAGTGTGCTATGCATGTAAGCTGTTTTACATAAATATCTATAAAAAATTTAAAGGTTCATATGGAGAATCAGTCAACATGAGGTTCTCATATGAGCAAGCATTCTTGCTTCAGAACAGTTGGATATTGGCCTTCCCTCATGTGAGGTATGTTCTACAATTGCTCTTCTTATTTTATGCTCAAAGATATTTACAAAACACTACTACCAATACAGTACTTTAACAATACCACAGGGGGCATGAATCTTCATAACAACCCTGTGGCCATTCACAATTATCTCAAAGTCTGTTCCCAAAATGATGCAAGGCGAAACAAATTGCTTTTTAAGTGGGTGTGAAAAAGAAATTTGCTTCTTGGGCTATTGCTAATCTCTTAAACACAACCTGACCTGTCTTATTAATTTTGATAATCTCTTAAAATTGTAATGTTTTAATATTGTAGTATTTTTTGCGCCATAGCCCCTTTTTCATTGTTTTATTATCTGCCATATAGATAGGTCTTTTATTATTTTCTATTCTTTCAACCAGAGGAGGTGGTGAATTTGGTAAGAAATGGTACACAGAAGCTACAAAACTCAATAAAAACAAAACTTTTCAGGTATCCTCTTCACAGATTATCTGAATGGCTACCCATGAAAAATGAATTACATTTAATTTTTTTATTTTTTCCCAGGTCATAATGCATTTATTGTATGCTGTCAATTAGAGATAATTTCTTACCTGAAGTACTTAAAGGCACAAGCACAGACCTGGCCACTTATGGCTCACCTGCCACATGTGGCCCTCTCATGAGTATATCTTCAATCAGAACATGAACTTTCGTAAAAGTATTTTCACACTTGACCTACACCACAAATTCATATACTTATATAAACTACTTAAATAAACGTAAACCAACATCTTTCTGATAACCAGCAAAAGCTAATAAATAATATATGTTATTGCTTTTTACATTGGGAGAAAATGAGCATTGCGAGAATAAAGTTATCATGGGTGTTTGGCCCTCCAATACAGTTCATGTTTCCCATGTGGGCCCTTGTAAAAACTAATTGCCCACCCCTCCCTGGCCTAGTAGATGTAGGACAAGACAAAAATTGCTTAATAAGAGACGTGATTTTAAAATGATTTAATTTTATTTGGGGAGTACTGAATAGTAAAGGGTCCTCAAATTCTTTAAAAAAGTTTGTCTCATAAATCCCTTTGGAAAATGTTAGGATTGCAGTGCATAATATATTTCATGTTTAGGATCTTCAAGCAAGTGTAAGATGTTTACATGACTCTGGATTTTCGAATCCATGTAAAACAGCTATTTTTGGGATGAGTGCCGGTGGACTTCCAGTTGCTGTTCTTTGCAATGAAGCACCAAATCTTCTTCAGGCTGCGGTTTTAAAGGTGTGAAGTATTTCTTTTAAGCAGTCAAATACCTGAAGCCACTTTTAACCAGACTGGTCACTAGTATCTTTATTGTTATTAACTAAGGAAAATTGGACTAATATTCTGTCACTGATATGCAAAGAACTTTGAAATATTCAATAATCATGTTTTATCAAAATTTTAATTTTTTCTGAAAGTCTAGTTGTAAACTTAATCAAGTTAAGCAAGAGATGAAAATTAATTGTGCTATGTTTTGTTGCCCTTTTCTTGAAAAATCTGTAGTGTACACTGTTTTTGATTTTCAGGTACCTTTTTTGGATGTGCTAACTTCAATGTCAAATAAAAGGCTTGATTTGACATCACAGGAATATGAAGAATGGGGAAATCCTCTGTATGTCAAATTTTCTTCCTTTAGAGCAAAACAGGAATTTTATGATTTCAAATCAATTTTTACAATAAACCTTTTAGATGCATTGTCTACCCTTAATAAAATCATAATTTGCACAATAGTGCACAATACAATCATAATTTATTATGATATCAATTTCTTCTGTTCCCTGCTTTTCAAAAATGTCAAATAGTCTGAAAATTACATGTAATTGTTAAAAGTTGCCTTATAGCTTTTTATAAATATTTTTAAAAAGAAACTTGAGATCTAGCCATATCTTCAGTAAAGAATTATGTATTCTTTCCCATCAGAAAATCAGAAGATGATCTAGTCAATATCAAATCTTATTGTCCAATTCAGAATTTGAAAGCCTCACAGGTAAAGAAGTCTTCTTAAGTTAGATTTATATGTTGGCAAGGCTACTAAAGTATTTCTCATGATTGAAAAGAACTTCACAACAAAATTGAATAATTGGTTGTTGTTGATTATATTGTATTGCAATTTTTTGGATGCTTAGAAGTTGTGAAGTATAGCTGTAAGTCCTACTAGATTGCCAAACCCTCTAGAAAGAGTTGATAATTTGCCAAAGAGATTTATGTAGCTGAAATCCCTAAATAATTCTCATAAGATTTGCCTTCATTTTTTTCTCTAGTGTTTGCCTAAATCATATTTACAGTTACATTTACAGAATAGAAACAACGAGAAACATGAAGTGGTTCTGATGGTCCTTAGGAATATTTGATTTCCTAGTTAAATATTCTGTGAAAATCAACTTTGTCTGGAAATTCCTGCATTTTTGTAAGATGTTGAACTAAGTTTCATTAATTATACAGAACTTCAAATGATAGAAATGGATATACTTTTTTTCCAAAAAAAACATTTTTCAAAACTCTAATGCTATCCAAATTACCCATTGATAGAACTAAAAAGAACATATCAGAAAAACAAATTACATTTAAGTGAAACAAAACTGATAAAAATTATCTAAAACTTGCAAATCAGTTCATATCATTACCAATAAAAATATAAAATATTCAAGAGATTTATACTATCTATCTATACAATTTAGGCTGTTTTCTCAGCTGTTATATTACGCCCTTTAAAAAAGTGAAAAGTGTTTATTTGTTAAGGTCATCTCATCGACAAATCTTGTCATTTCACTGTTGATCCTTGCGTGTCTTTCTACTCGTGCCCAACCTAAATTTTTTAATGTGTCTTTCTGCCCTTCTTCAATCCACCAACCATGATCTTGGGACGAAGTTATTGGTTTTCGATAGATTTCGTTCGGAGCCATACTTGGTCTTTGGTGTTTTGTCAATCGTTGGGTATAAATAAGATGTGACCCTTTCGATTCTGAATTAGATCGAGAAGCTGGTGATGTTTGTTGAAAGTGACTAGCTGTGTAGTACTGGCGGGAGTCTAGGCCATCACGACTTGCACCGTTGACAAAACTTCGACTTGTTTCTGCCCCCTGTGTACTCTCTTGCAAAGAATCTTTGATAGAGTTTTGAACTCCCAATTTTGTTAAATTGAAGAAGGCCATTGAAACTTTTCCTTTTCGCAAGTGTGCAGTTTCAAGTGTCCAACGATTTGTGGTTAATCAATGCCTATCACAACAACGTTGTTTTTGTTGCTTGGCGACCACCAATTCGAGGCAGAGTATTGTTTACGATTTGCGACCGTAAAACACTGATTTTTTTATAAGAAACTGGCTATAAGAAACGAGTACTGGACAGTCAGAAAGAATTTAAAAACTTCAGTACTCGAAGCAAAAAAATTAAAAAACTATTAATTCGTGATAAAACTGAGAACAACGAGATTTTGTAAAAGCCAAGAACATGATTGCCCTGTTGGCCTAGAACCTCAGACACAAGGGCTAAAAATACAAATACTTCCCACATTTTAATACAGCATAAAAACGGACGCGAATCTCTTGACGTGATAAAAAGGTCAGAAACATTTCATAGCATAGCATAATTTGATAATAGTAGAAACATTGACAAGTCTAATTTGTTGGCAAAACCCCTCCAAAACAAGTTTTTATTGGAAATGTTAACACTCCTACGTTTCTTGCATGTTACATGGCACCACCATGATTTTGATAAACCGAAAAGAATTTTTGCAAAGCAAATCACGTAAGTACGCTGAAGAAGAGAGACCCAGAGACGAAATTGAGCTACGTTAATAAAACAGGACCAGCGATGGTGAGAGTGGCCAATTAGAAACAACTTCTCACAAAAAAAGGAAAAGAAGGAGAGATGCCTTGAAGAGAAAATGGTACACATTTCAATTAAAAATTGACGTTTTGAACAGTTTGAATGAGGAAAAGGAATGTGTCACGAACATTGCCAAGAAGTTTAACATCATCAAGACACAAATAACCAAATGGAAGCAACAGGAAGCTTGCATAGTCGATTCTGCAGCATTGGAACTCAAAAAGCTTCTAAAAAAATTGACCCTCCAACAAACATAACAAGATTTATGTCCGGCTTTACCAGAAGTTTGTCGAAGGCCGTTTAAAAGACATGAAAGTTTCCTTTGCATGGCTCCACCCACATGCCAATAAGATAAACCACCCTCAAAATTAACAACCGTCAAATGAATTTCCCTTCAGCGCAATCAATGTGTTCATTCGAAGGTACAAGATTAAACTTAGAAGAGTACAGAGAAAAAACATGCAGAAAAGCAGCATTATTTGCCAGCGATGATGAAGTGGCACAGCACCCTGCACGAAACACTTACAAGTCAGGCTGTGAAAGAGCTGACTTTGATCCAAAATGGGGAAGGTTTCCAACCTGAGAAGAGATTTAACGTAGATCAAGTCCCACTCCCATTCGCAGTTGCTCGCAAAACAACATACATACGAAGCTCCCGTTGCAAAAGAGGAAAGATCGCACCATAGGGTATGGGTGAGTCAACCTGGGAGTGACCTGGATAAGCACCAGTGCACTCTACAAGTGGCTTTTAGACCGAAAAACAGGGATATGAAAACAGCAATAATTTTGCCCCTTGTTTTGGCTGCCAAACGTACATTTGCCCCTTGTTCTGTGATAACTTGGAGGCCCAAGGTCTTTGTGGACTAGTGTGATTTGGCCCAACAGGTGCAACAGACATATGGCAGCCAGTTGAATGTGGGTATGTGGGTGTCCCTTATACAGGCAAAGCAAGACGACTGGTTATAGAAGGAAGATAATATAGATTTGTGGTTAGGCAACTCTGAAGATTCCCTCGATGCAAAAAAGAGACGAATATTGTCGACGCACTGGGTTGGAAATGCTACAGAAAAGTTGTCTGCTGAAGATTATGACAAAGCTAGGTACAGATGCATCGAGAACACCGGATGTTTGATAACGGTTGATGGGTCTGCTGACGATAAAATAAACCCAGAAGGTCTTAAAAATTATGTTGTTCCACCTCCTTTGCCAATGACCGGGCCAGCAGAGGTACCAGCCTGTGAGTTACCAGCCCTAGCAAGTCATAAAGAAGTTAAAAACGAAGAAATCATAGAGAACTTTGAACAGCAGCTTGTCAACTAGACAGAAAAGGTCGATCATTAATGACCGTGACTACACTCATGAGCTTGTTGGGCAGAAAATTGAAATTTTTTTATAAAAATGGTTTCTTTGTTAAAGCAATATCATGGTACAACAGATAATTGCAAGAGTTTTGAGTATACTATGACGAAGATAACTCGGACGATTATATTTCTTTAGAAGACATCGATGGGATTTACTTTTTGGATTGAATGGGATTGAAATTAAATTATTTAACTACTTTTTCACTGTTATATTCTGTCTTGTTCTACATAGATGTTTACTGTCTTGGTTCTGTCTTTGGAAAAATTGAAAAATAGATTCATAGTCTCTCATCTTCTCTAATAGTTCCAAGCATTAACTAAAACTTTTCCTCAGGATGAAGCTAGGAAGATCGCGACCCTAATCCACCTCTGAATTTGAATCAAAATTTGTGGGTATGAATCGAGCTATAGATCGCTAAGGTGGGCTCGAAAAACATAATTTTCAGAATCCCGATCTAAATCATAATACCGTAACCTTTGCTCCATGTTAGCAGGGTATCAAGTTTAGGTAGATCAAAATATGTCCGAATTCATTTTCCAGAGAATAGGGGTGTTGTCCTCTTCCTTAGAATTCTTATTAAACTGCTATTGTCATTTGCAGGATTTCCCTTCTGTTTATTTGATTTCATACATGGACGATGAACGAGTTCCAGCTTGGATGCCATTGAAGTGGTTGGCGAAATGGAGGCGTGTATCTGATGGCTCGAGCCAAATAAATAACAACCTTGTGCTTTGTCGACTCTACGAGGATGGAGGACACTTTGGAAATTCACGGGTATCACAAGAAGTTCTGGTATGTTGCAATTTGGTGATACCCACGAAACCAAATGCTTATCAGTTTAATCATATTACTGATATTATATATCAATATTATCATATTTGTATTATATGTGGATTTACCGAATAGCTGGTATGAAACGAAGAATTAATAACGAAACACTACAAACTGGAAAATGGAAGAGTTGGGACAATGTTGCGATTTATGCATTAATGACAGTGTATCTTGACAATTTGGTACATCTGGCGACCCTGTAATGTTTTAAAAAAGGTGTACCGTGTTTATCTTTAAAACATTGGTACAACAGTTTGATGTCTTATCGACTGTTTTGATCAAATCATCGAACCGATTTTTTATAGATTCGATTTGTAACTGAAAAAGGCAAACTTGAAATGGAGATAGCCATCTGCATGCTAATAAATTCACATTCCCTTTCAGACGAGTGAAATGATTGCTTTCTTATACAAATCTTTGGAACTACCGATGAAGTTTTGCTGATTGAAAAGCCAACAAACAATGTTTTTTGAAAGACTGCTTGCCGCTTACTGAAAAATAGAGTATTTCGCTAATATTTGATATCAGCTGATCTTCGTTAAGTATGAAATGATATATAATTTTACTACAAAAGTCTGTAGTTTTTCATACGAAAGTCTATAACTTGCTTTTTTAAATCTTAAATAACCGAAAGTAATTCTTTCAAATGTCTTTTATTTGTGATATTGACCAAGTGCAATTTTTCAGCAACATACTGCAAAGATGAAGCTCTAGATATATTTCATTTAAATTTACCTATTATGCTCTACAAAGTGGTAGAGAGAGTATAATGATCAATTTGGTCTGGAAACATCCTTAATTCCTTTATTGTGATCCACTTAATCAATTTTATGCGTCGCAGATTCTTTCTGCTAACTACCAAGATCCCATACACCATGTGAAACAACCTTTTTCCTTATGTTGTGAAAAACAATGTTTGAAGACACTTACATTTGATGACAAAAAATTGTTTCAAGGCTTGAGCACATATTTTGTGATATCAGATAAAGCGTTCTGCTGTTGTTTTTGTTTTTTTAAGACATAGGATTTTTTGGTCCAGACCTTTTGGTCCATGTCAAGCTAGAGCCCTTCCACCTTTGCAAACCTGCTAAACCCAGAAAGCATTCTTGCTCAAAGAAGCTCATCCTATCTCGTATTGAAAGAACAATAATCTACTTTCACTATGTCACACCTAGTTTGTTTTTGGCTTTCTCTGGTTGAATGTTCATTGAATGAAATGGCTTAGGTTCTAGAGGAAAAAGCTTCTATCTTTGGTAGCACAAACCGCCAATGCATCGCAGAGATAATAATAATAAAAAATTCATTTTAAGTTGCGCTACATAGCTATTCACAGTGAAGTATACTAGAGCTAATCCAAGTCAACTGTTGAAACTAATACATCGCATAAATGCATACAAGATTAAATACATAAAATTTCAAGTACATAGTGAACTTTAAAACAGAATCAAAAACGTAGTTGTGTTAAAATCTGAGCTATTCAAAACCCGAAAGTTCATCTATGTAAATGACGATAGTATTGCAAAAATCCAAGCTGTGGTACGGACAACCTACATAATTTCCACGTGCAGTCAGTGCCATTCCAGCTTTTAGCTAGCCAACTCCAGCTTTCTTAAACTCAATGATAAATTGAGCATCCCTTATGTGCTAAGGTAGAGGGTCAAAAACGTTGTCCTTTATATTTGATAGTTTCGGTTCTGTCACGTCTTGTTCTCACCCTTTGGTAGCATAAATTCATTATTGTTTCTCTAATTATAAATAACAAGACGCTCGCAGAAAATCTCCCTCTTAAAAAAAGGATTGATATATCTCTTTCTTTTAAACGTTTCAATCTTGAAATTTCGCAGGTGCTTTACATGAATATTTTTCCGAGTCATATTTTTCAAGCAAAGTGTTGAAGCTAGAATCATAGTCCTTGTAGGTAGGCAATTCTCAGGGCCCTTTCATGTATTTTATTAATCTAGCCATTCAAGTGCCTACTGTGGAACATCCAGACCAGTGGACAGTATTCAAATTGGCTAATTACAAAAGCTTTCATTAAGATTTTAAGTTTATTAGCCTCTATGTTTGCAGATATGCGAGCGAGGGCGGAGAGTTTGCTACCAGCCTTTTTCACAACTTACTGGTATGTGTCTCAGAACTGAGTCTTTTGTCTATCATAACACCTAGTAGCTTTTCCTCTTCCGAATTTTCTATGATAGAATCTCTTGTGTTAAATGTGACCTGCTGATTAGAATTTCTGCCAAGAATAAGTAAATTATACCTGTTTGTATTCAACTTCATAAAGCTATCAGCGAACCATTGGATAATAATGCTTTAATCATTCTCTAGCCTCGCAATTACATTATTAAAATTTTGATCACACGCATATGGAGTTGTATCATCCACGTAATTGCAGATATCCTTTTTCTTTAAGGAGAACAGTAAATCATTTATTTAGATGTTAAAGAACAGAGGACCAAGAACTGTTTCTTGTGGAACACCTCGCAACAATTGTTTGTAGTTACTGAATGATCCATTAATCTTAACTCTCTGATGCCCTTCATTACTGAATCCATAAGCATCTAGTTTTGCTATAAGGAGGTCACGTTTAATATAATCAACCGCTTTTGGATTCATTGGGTCCATAAGGATTCTCTCCCTTGGCGCCAACATTCTCTCCCTTGTCTAAGCTTATTTTCCATTTTACAAGCATTCGAACTAATGCGTGTTGCGCATTGTACCGAAAACCGCATAGAATTGGCGATAAATGAGGTTGCATATAATCAAAAATCTGCTTATCAATAAGTCTCTCAAAAACCTTCGAAACAGTTGACAATATCCTCACGGAAGCAGCTTTTCAGCACGTTGGGGGTATACTCCTGAGGGTTATTGTTTTTTTAGGATTAAGTCTCTCAATTTCGTCTGTTCCATAGTAACCTCTTGAAATATGAAGAAATCGTTAGTTTGAGCAAAACTACGAACTCATAGCCCTTTCTATAGGACCTGATACACCTTCTGTACTTATGGTAATCTCCCTGTTCTCCGTGAGCCCTAATGAGTCAGTAATAGATACAAAATAATAATTCATGGTTTCTGCAACTTCGTTATCATTGGAAATTATCGTATTATTATCAATAAGGGTAATTTTTTAATTAGACCGATCTTTACCGGAAAGGATATGTTTTGCAATTTGCCAAAATGTTTTGTTGTCAGGCATATCAGAAGTATTCAAATTATTATAAAAATTTCTTGTTTCCGTTCTAGGTAATTTGACATACAAATTACGCTATCGACGAAACGCTTCCCAATGTTTCGCTTTGGGGATTTTATGTTATAAATTTTTCAACCTAGAATGCAGCGACTTTACAAAGAACTCTATTCATTTAGGGAGGGACCATCATTGGCCCTTGCGTATCTCTTCTTCATCGGTGCATGCTCATCAAGTACTTTTTCAAACCAATTTTGAAAGAAATTGTAGTTTAGATCAGTTGCTTTGATACTAGCGAACTCTTCCTTAAGTTCTAGTTTGAAAGTCTGCTCCGAAAAACTAAGATAGTCTCTATAATTAATAACAGTGAGTCCAGCTTTTGGGTACCTTGTTTTCAAAACTGTGACTATCATTCTGTGGAAGTTAGAGAGACCCTCGAAGGTAGTGGCGTGTTCTGTTTGTTAAGATTTCGTCAATGCACTGTGGATTATCAGCATCAGACTTGAAAAAGGTTGGCTCTTTTACAAGATTTCCGAGGTCATAGCTATTCATAAAAGTACGAATCTGTTGATCTGTTGCTACTGTATTAAAATCCCTAAGTAACAAGAATTTGTCATATCATTCACTGTGAACATCCACCGCTTTGTCAAGCTTTTCGAAAAAGTGATCTTGTGCTTGGGACGGTGGACGGTAAACACTGAAAAGAGCCCACCTAATTTCAGAACAAATACATTCTATGTCAAATTCAAACTTGAATGATTCTAACCGTTTCATTGTGATGTCATTCTTCACATAGACCTACAATGCCTGCCAAAGGTCTTGGAACACTGACATCAATTTCCAAGGTCAAAATCAATCATCCCCCTCTCCCCTACAGAACAATGTTGGTTTACTATCAAACGGGTTAGGATTTTAGGAAGCACTTTCTTTTGCGCTTCTTTTATGGTATTTCTCTAAATCATCAACATTGTTTTAGGGGGAAGGGGGCGAAAGTAGAAATTTTTTTCATGAAAGGAATGAAAGATATCAAATGCAGCGTAAATTGCTGGGTGTTCCAAGTACTTTTGGCAGGCATTGTACAGAACTCCACCTTCACCATTTCTACCAAGCCGCCATCAATATAGAATTGTTCTTTTGGGAAAGAACCATCAATTCTTGTTTTCGTACCCTGGGTACCAGATCCACATAAATTCGAGTGCGGAAATAGAAGATAGGAGTGGAGAAGCGGAGTAGCATCTATCTAAGAAGAAAGCACTTTTCTCAGCTAGACGCTCCTACGCTTCTCCGCTTGGCTTTCTGTTTACGCGCTGGAAATTTTGTGGCTCTGGCACCTACCAGGGTTTCCGCAACCATTAGAATATCAAGATTCTGTGAGACTTTTTTAACGGCTATGGCAGTCCATAGCTGCAGTCCTGGTTAAATGTATATTGCCGTGCACCTTTTGTTGTGGGAAGGCCAATGCCCTTTCAAAGATGCAATTTAGTACCATGCCCTTTTAAACATGCAATTTCGCAAACTATTTTGTTAGAAAATGAAACCTTCTTCTACCAGAACGTTTGTCAATATCAATTCCTAAAGAATAAGTTGGACCATAATTTTCCATGCACGTTGGTAGTAAATGGCATTGCCATTATTCAAAATTTTTGGTTTTACTAAAATCATTGCAATGGGCTGGCTGTAAGATTTTGATTGTCCGCTTATTCTTCATGGTTGCAGAATCATTGAGAATGTAAAACGGAAAATAATAATCCCAAGAATCAAATGTAAATCATATAATTATTTACTTCACATGTTTTTTGTATCAAGGCATAAAATAAGCGTTACATTCTCGTTCTGATGATGGGCAAAATAGACCGTATCTTGTAAGACGCCATTGTTTTCGAAGTATATTATCGTCCTCTGAAAAATAATTTTCCGTTATCAAAGACCGACAGCAAAAAGGGGGGTTTTCTATTTTTTTTTTAATTTCTAATGGCTAAACGAACTAGAGTGGCTAAACTAGCCATCAATTATCTACCAGATTCAATAATTGTTTCTTAGGAGTGGGTATTTAGGGGCACAGCTTGCCCTCTCTGCCCCTCCTGGCAGAGGACAGGAAAGTGAGAAGCAGTGTTCCCACACCCAGCGTTTCTCCCTACTGCGCAGGCGATTTCTACCTACTTCCACCTACGCATGTCAGCATGGATTCTCCCCACAAATCCCTACATTTTTCAAAATATCCCTACGTTTTTACCCACGTCCACTCATGCTTCTAAGGACAACTTTTAGCGAAAGTATTTTTTTAAAAGCCATAAAGATCGAGGACCAAAACAATTATTCAACTATAAAAAATAATGCTTTTGTAAGATGTTACTCTGACGTAAACTATGGTTTTGCGTTTTTTTGCGGAATATATTGCGGCATTTGCGGAATATTTGCGGCATTTGCATGAAAAGTCAGTGGAAATTGATGTTCAAAGCTATGAAAAACAAGCAATCTAATTGTTTGGCCGCAGACAAATATAAATCCCTACAATTTCCAGAAAACTACCTACTTTTCTTGATTTATCCCGTAGGCTTTCCTTACAATCTATAAACTTTTGAAAATCCCCAAAGTAGGTAGAAATCCCTACGTGTGGCAACACTGGCTGAGAAGAAAAGAATATGTACTTGTAGTAAAACATTCCTCCTTTCCGAAAGAGAGAAGTAAGGAGAGAAGTAAGTCATTTATGTATATGTTCAAGATAAGGGAACCAAGAACTGATCCTTGCGGAACACCAAGGAACAGTTGTTTGTATTTCATTCATTTCATTTCATTTCAAATGTTTAAGGGTAGCCCTTCAGCAATGCTGATTTTCAGGGGCCCTCCACTTGAAATACTTACAGAAATTCTTATAAAAAACAAATTATCCTAATTACAATTCAATATTTACAATCTAAAATAAATCCTATTTTAACTTGAGTTTAATTTTACTACAAATATTTATAACGAAAGGCGAAATGGTAATTTACAATATACAATTTACAATTACGCCTATTTACAATTTTGCAAGATTTTTTTGAAGTTGGTCAAGGAAGATGCCTGTTTACACTCGCTGAAAGGCCATTCCAAGACCCAGCACCTCTTAACGAGAAGCATTTCTGTCCGTTTTTGGAGCTTTTTTAGTAGCCTTAGGTCAGTTGATGTATTCCTAAGATTCCTAGAATTTAACTTGGATTTTTCTGTGAAAAGATCACACATGTACTGTAGAGCCAGTCCATGAATCGATTTGAAGACCATGACATTTGACTCATTAGCGATTAGCTCGTCTATGGTCATCCAGCCCAGCTCCTTTATGAGTGGTTGGCTCGGTGCATCAAAACTTCTGCCAGATACAATACGAGCAGCCCGGTTTTGTAGTTTTTGTAAGCGTTTGATTTCGGTAAGACCACAACAGCCCCACAACGAACAACAATAGCGAAAGTGTGGCTCCACAATACTTATATACTTGTGTACTTTTAGGTACTGAATGATCCATTAATCTTTACTGTCTGATGCCTATTTTCCAAGTAGCTATCAACAAGACACAGTCCTTCATGGCTGAATCCGTAAGCATCTAGTTTTGCTATAAGGAGGTCATGTTTGATACAATCAATGGACCTCTCGAAAGCCTTCGATGGGTGCATAAAAAACCAAATAGATTCCGTACTTGGGTAAGAATAGAGAATTGATTCTCTTTTGAACTGTGGAATCATTTGGTACTTTTATAGGGAATCTAAGGCCACTGAATGAAATATTTATCATTGTTTTGCTCAACTTATTTTTTGGAAACAACTAAAGAAACTCTAAAAACATACATGTACCAAAACTGATAGTCTTAAGTATTTTGTGTGGAGGGTACAACCTGAAGGGGCTAGTTAGAAACATGCCTGGGAGAGACAATGAGCTTGAAAGATTTCTTAACTTTGAATTTTAGGACATCTTCTTCGGCTCTACTAACCGCCAAGAACCCTAACAACCAGTAAATTAAGTTGTTTAATCGATTCTTCATACTACAGTCATACTGTTATTTTTAGTCACTTACAGTCTTAGGTGCATTCAATAGAAAGAGATAATGCTAAAATAATGTTAATGCGAAGCTAAAACTAAGTGAAATCAAATCTTACGATGTTCTCAAGAAGAAATCAAAATAAATGCTGTAGATTGACTACATGTTTCTAAAGAGTAGATATTTTATAGACGGAATTTTGCATAACCATCTAGCAACCAGCCTAACCGAAATTTTTAAGGTTAAAATCATTAAGCCTTGGGAACCTTCTGGCAGAAGACCGGAAGTCATGTCCACGTTCCAGGCTTTTTCTGACGATATCATCAGATTTAAAAAATTCGAATGTCGAAATTTTGCTGACCGTGCATTTTTCATGCTTCCAGCAAAGGGACTTCTGGTCAACTACCAGAATGTTTCCAAGGCTTAAAATAATCAGTGGCCTTTATTTTTATAGTTTGAACTTTCATCAAGTTTAAATAAAAAGTTGGAGTGGGCCAATTTCTCTTTGCGGTTGCGTATTTGTGGCTTCTCATAATATTGCCTATAGCTTAATCTTCTTGCGTAACTTGTAATCACTTTTAGCATTACTTATTGGCGCCATACTGAAATCAATGATATGGTCAGAAACATTTTCAAGATAAGAATAACTTAATAAAGCATTGTAGATAAAAACATGTTGACGATGTTTGATGCTCTCGTCTATTTCGTTGAGATAATATAAGCCAAAAGTATTTGCGGTAGATTTTATGTTATTGGTATTTTTCCTAAACGTTAAGTATGAAAAGCCTTTTAAACCCCTAGAAAGATTTAAAAGATTAAAAGAACAACCCAGGTATAATATAGTTGGTATCTTAAAGGCAGTCTGTCCCCTATTATGCTCAACTTTATTTTCACGGGAGTGAAATTCACGCACCGTTACCAATCAGAAACAACTTTGATTCCAGAGCTTTTGAATCAAATGCCTGTTTTCCCGTTGTAGTGAAGCTGTGACTAGAAAGATATGGCTCCCTGTTTGGTTTCTTAGACAAATTTGTCAACAGTGAAAGGAGATGCGTCCATTCAATCCCATTAATTAAATCTTCCTGCCATTCCCGATAGCTTTTTGCTCGCAGTTTCAGGCCAGCCAAAGCAAGCATCGTAATCCGTTATCCGTTAAGGCGGGAAGACCTATTGTTCATATTAGCCAATCATTGAGGGGACAGACTGCCTTTAACAGGTCTACAGATCAATAGTAACTTGAATCAATGCTTGAGATCAATTGTCTCTTATATCTTCAAGTCTTTGTAATTGCGAACGTGCATTTTTTCCTCTCTATATTATGGCCCCGGGGTAGACAGAGTTGATGCTCCTTGGGGTATCGTCTTTGTAGTGTATGTGAAGTAGCGTGTAGTTCAGGTATTACAATAACTTGTTATGTAACTTTTTGGAATGTATAAAAAGTCAATGCTGTTATCAAGTAGATAATTCTCACACAACATTTAAAGAGGTATTCAGTTATTTTGTTATTCCACATTTCATACTGGGAACCAAAGTTATTTCATATTTGAAGACTCAAAAATCTAAATATTTATATTTTCATCCCGAAAATCTCAATTATTTCATATTTCAAATACCCCTTATAGAGCCTCATTTGCTATGGCACCGACCTGTATCCATGGACATGATGCATGGACAAAGTTGAATTTCTGTTTTGACTGGCTTTTCTATGGGAACAAATCTCAAACGAGGCTGATTGTTGATGTTGATCTTCTACACTACTGGAGAGAAATGGCGGCAGATGGTCATAGTGGGAGTTTCAGCATAGACGGCAGTAAAACCATGTCATCAAGTAAGCATCTTTATATATATATCTGTGAAAGTATATTTTCTAGACTTAACATATCAGAAAGCAGAATTTTCGTTTTAAAATAATCTGCAGATGACAACTTTTTCAAACCGTGGTTTAGGCCTAATTTTTTAAATTTTTATTGAACAGTTAGTTGGATTGCGACTATGGGATTGGCAAACTCGAAGGACGCGAAGAAACTTTTGAGAGCAGCATTAGGCTTTAGCTGAATGCTCGTAAACGAATAACAATAAAATTACAAATAAATATTTTTTTACAGCAAGCTGATAAATTTAACAAAACAACTATTTTTTCACAATTGTAGAAGAAAACAAAATCACATATTTGTAGGCGTAATAATCCTTAGAGTATAAGGCAAGAATAAGGAGCTAGCCAGGACGAAGGTGAGTAGGAACAAAATCGATAAATAAAATCGTGTAGTCTATAATGCCTAGCATAAAACTGAGATCTTAACGAGCCAACATCTTATAATACGTATAGGGATACCCTATATGGAAATACCATATTTGACTTTTAATGAATCATGAAAATCCCATGGCCTGTGCAAGGCCAAGATAAACCTTATTGTCATGAAAATAGCCCACCATCATCCAATATCAGTTTATGCCCAGCTGTCTTTAAATTTAGACTTCAGTTTACTTTCATTATAACATGCTCGTTTATAACATACTTTCAGTTTTAGCATACATCTTCTTTGACCTTCCATAAAAAATTGCCACCTTTGCAATTGTTTGATTCAAGTGCCAAGTTCCAAAAAGATTTTACTAAAAGAAAACAGTTTTTTCATGCTAAATTTAGTGAAAGCCATATATTAAGTCAATGAAAAGAAATGAAAACTTTTGTCTTAAGAGGTCTTTTATAAACAATTCAAAAACACAAATCTTGTAAGAAGCTAAATCCTAAGCAAGCTCTTTGCCAGGTTTCTACTTTAGCAAACACATTTAAGAATACCCATATTGTGGGGTGATGGTGTCTATTGTGCAGAGTTTACTTTTATTAGATAATTTACTATTATATTATTTACTATAATTTAATTTACTAAAGAGATTAGAAAAGGCTATTTGTAAATGTTTTGAAACCTTTTCTTGAAGTGTTTGTCTGGTCTAAATTGGTTACTATCAAAATTTTGTATACTTTTGCATTTGCTGAAACAATATAAATATGATTGAAGTTTTATCACAAATCAGGCACAATCACCCAGCACCTCAATACACTTTTTGATGATGAGCATATTACAAACTTTTTACTTACCGTAAAAGCTCTATTAAGCCCCGGAGGGAGCTTATTAATTTATTTATTTTTTGTATATTATTTTATATATTTTTTATTAATTTATTTATTAATCAGTCAATTAGTTTATTTATTTAATTTATTCATTTAGTTATTAATTTATTAATTAATTAATTCATTTATTTATTTATTTACTATTAGAATTTAGGAGCTCATTAATAATTCAATGTGAAAATGTCATAAAAATGTCCTCATGCCCTCATGTTCTCAAAAAACTTTCCTAGCAGCTTTGAAAATTTCTTGAAATCAGTCAATTGTAATGTCAACATCTTCATCAAAGTCACCAGGATCAATTGGTAATGCCTAGGACATCTTCTAAAGAAACAACATAAACATCATACATCATAATTATGTTAAACTTTCAAATGTGCAAAGTCATATTTTAGTTATATTAATTTTTGGCCATCATTTATCAAAGCACAACTTGCTAAACCACACAAGTGTACACCTTTTTTGTTTCATTGATTTTTATGCCCCTTGGTTGGACTGGTAAAAAGAGGATTTACTGAATTAATTCTTAGCTATAGAAGGTCTTCTTTTCATTACGTTTTGTAAACAATTTAAATCTTTACTTGCCCAGCATATTTATTTGTAAATACAACTTAATATTTTTTATTTAACAAATACTGTTTTCATAAAGGTGGAGAAGCAGAGCAAGGGAAAGATGAGTTGGTATGTATTTCTAAATAGATATGTTTAATTTGCCAATAGTTAAACATTTTTCAACTAGTCACTTCATAGAAACCACAAAAGCTTTCATACTTTTTTCACTGTTTCCTTTACCGTTTCCTTTACTCTTTACTGTTAATTCCTGGTAACTTCTATATTATTTTTTTCTACAGAACCAAACCTCTTCTCCAATGACAGAGGCTGGTCTCACAGATACCTTGCAGGCATGTTTCCCAGTTTTATGCTCCTTTTCCATAAGCTGATAATGTTGCATTTTCTGTAATTCTAGTTTTGCTCTTGTCTTGTGAACAATCATTGTTTTCAAAACTAATATACAATGAGTCTTTTATAGAGGCATTTATAGATTCAAAGTTGCCTAATTAGCTTAAGTGTTTATGTCACAAATATCTATTTTGAGAATTTTTTGATTTTGAACATAAAGTTTGAAACCGCACCATGAAATATCTCTAAACTTGTAAAATTAGTCAGATCTGATCAAACTGCCTGAAATATAAATTTTTGAGCTTTCCCCCCATCAAACTCCTATATTTCGACTCCACGGCCAAAATAACAGTAATCCGTTAGCCAACTTCAAAATTGGCCAAAATCTAAGGAAATCTGTTGCAGATTCAACTGATTTTGCACATTTAGAGTATTTTTACCGTTTTCTTTCTGGCCATGTGTTCAAAATTGAAATTGTTAAGAATATAATTTTTATGACGTCATTATTTTGCCGCTTAATTGAAAATTCATGTGTTTTCAAAATTGCTCTCTCCAATGATCTCACGCAGGATATAATCTGTAAGAGTAGGATCGATGGCATTGCACTGTGTGCATGATTTCGCTTACATCAGTAGAAAGGATAACACTAGAGCTACCAACACGCCGCCATTAGCCTATTGTTTACATTCAATTTTACAGTCCATCATCCGTTATCATATCTAATGCAGCCGTTACCTTACTTGTTAGCTAGTTTTGCAAATTTTTTGAATTTGAGGTTACAAAATGTCTCAATACAGCTATCCAATAATAAACCTTATTTTGTGTAATATAACATTCTAATTTTCAAAAGTAATCATTGTAACTTAATTAAAGCTTAAGCTTTTATTTGTTGGATTGTAATGTTATTTTAGAAAATTATATCAGAGGAAAAAGATGCTACAGATCCCAAAAAAGCTAGGCGAGATGTGAGATGGATGAGCACACGACCATACCTAGACCAGACTGTTGTGCCAATATTACTTCAGGGCTTAATCGCCCTTTCAAAAGAAAGGTATGCATTTGTAAATGTTGCTTCTCGGTTCAATAAGTTGCGGCAAACAATTTAATTTGCACCAATTTTTTGGTGGTACGACAACATGATTGCAAAGGTTGCCCACTCAGTGCTGTTTGTCTTTTGAAAATATTGCCAATGGAGTCCTAAGGAACCTAAGGTGAAAATGATACAATTGTGGTTTTTCATTTTTATGTAGATAGATTCTAAATCTGCTAGATGGAACGATGCTCGGGCTAAACCAATAGTTCGAAGTTGTTGTTTTTGACTTGCAAGATCGAAGAGACTGTTCTCTTTTGGGGGAGATTCGAAGGGACTTGCTATTTTGTTCCATCCCCCAACCTTTGGTTGTGCGTTCTACGTAGCTAGGATCACACTGGCACGTAAACTCGTAGGTAATGCAACTCTTTTGCGTGGAAGGAACGCCATACTTTTGAATGGATGGACGGTTTCTCTTAGCACTACTGTAAACAATAAAAAACAACCGCAAAGAACCGTTTACATTCTCAATAGGCAAGCGGCACTGATCGGTCAACCTCAAAAGTCACGTGCTCGCGTTTCTGATTTGCCTATTTCGATCCACAACTGGGTATATATTTCCTAGCTTAGAGTTTTCGATATATGTTCAGACGTGTAGAGAATATCTCTGCTTGTTAACGCAGGTTCAATAAATGATTAGAGTAAACCTTTAGAGAAAGATAATCTTGGTAACTAGAATACCAAAGAAAACGCGATGGGGAGTCAGACGAAAAGCTTGAATACTATGTTTCAAAATGTTTGCTTTTTTCAAAGCCATTTTTAAAGTCTACTATTTATCCTCTTTCGTTTTAAAGTCTATTATTTTGTTGCTCAATTTCAAAGAGAGTGATTAATGCTAGCGGAATATACTGTGTTTCGTCAATCCATCTTAGCAGGAAGACTATCATCTTCTTGTTGCTTGAATCGTAATGTCACTTTATGTAAAAATGTTGAAAGGTTTAAGCGCAAGATTGCTGGCAGTTATTAAGATAACCATTTTTGCAGTTAGAACTATTTATTGATAGAAAGTAAATTTGATATATTCAAGGCTATCGTTTGATTCTGTTGGATTTGAACATGTTGAATTCTCCAAATGCATGTGTTGCTGCCCATTTGTGTATTTAGCTTTTTTTCATTAAAAAATAGTTTCTGACAGTCTTCTTGGTACACTACACTTAACCTTTGTTTCAAATTTTCATTGGCTCCTTTTCTCCCCTTCCAAGCATTATTGTCTGGGCTTCTGAATCACCCAGCGTTATCCTATCGCAGATTTTTGATCAAAAGCATCTAGGTGAAAATTATTCTTGACCTAACAGATACGTTTGTCATATAATCAATATTATTCAAAAATGTGATTCAGCTACAATCCTTGCCAATTAGTTGACAACCTGATGTCGCTAAAGTCTTCCTGTCTCCATCTCTCCATACAATGTTGATTGTCTAAAGGCAGTCCGTCCCTATTGTATTCAACGTTGGTTTTCATTGGACTGCGATTCACGCTCCATTGAGCTTGCCTGAAAGTTAATCAAAGTTGTTCGTTTTTTTCAAAATTCATGAACTAAATTGAATGTGTTGTTATTGTGGTTTGGTATCTTGAATGCTATCTCAGTTTATATGATCCACTGAGGCTAACATGCATTTTGTTTTCGTAATGGCATTATCATTCCATTTCTAATCCCATATTTAAGAGATATGAGAATCACAAAACGTCAAAGCAAATTTCGTAGAGCCAAGTTTAGTTCCAATATTTTCAATCGCAAAAAATATTTATGCATATCCCAAAAATTAACCTTTGCCAAACTGTATTCTTATGGAAATACAGGTTGAATCGATCTTTCCAATTGATTTGATTTAATTCTGTTTTAGGCCTCCAGATCCGATCGAATATTTAGCAACATTTCTTCTTCGGAACAAGAACGCCTATGAAAATAACCAGCCACCATCTTGATGTTTAATTTCTATGGAGCTCTACATGACAGACTTTCACAATTCCCCTTTCTGTAAAGTGTTTGTTTGGGTCTTTTCATCGATTTTTCTTCGAATTTTCTTCGATTTTTCTTCAATTTACTACTTTTGAGAAGAATCATAGCCTGATTGATTGTGTTGTTTTCTATGCTTCAAATCTTTACACTGTCGAGGTTTTTATGCAGAATCTAATCATCATTTCACCATTTTCAATTCTTTGCAAATTTCAGTTCCTGGATATTCTCTCAAAGCTCACTTGGCTTGGCCGAGGTTCACGGTTGCAAGAAGTCGAAAAAAGCATCCTTCGCGCAATTGACAAGAAGCAGTGCGTTTAATAGGAAAGATTTATTTTTTTCATGCTCTGCAATTCTATCGCATGTTAACAAAAACAATATAGCTTTTCCTCTTCTGGTTCTATTTTTAGCCTGGTGCTTGTATAAATATTCCTTATTCAATTGCAGAAATTGAGACTTTCCAGAAAGAAATCTGGAAATACTGCAAATGATAAACTAAACAAGGTTTCCCACAGAAACAGCTATTTACAGATTTTCTTGAACAACCAAGTCTTTAGAGAAAAGTGATCACATCTTCGGATCTGGATAAAATCTCAAAGTTGCAATGCTTATCATATCAATAAAACAGGGTCGTGGAATCGGTATAGTTGATTTGGCATTTGTCAAAGGAATTCTTCTAGTGATAATATTTTGTATACCACATCCATGTCACACAGTTAGCGCCGATTTCCCATTCAAGAATGAGCCGTATGTTTCAATATCCCTTCACTTCGTCTTGCTAAAGACTGGGCATTTTAGGTTCCATGTCAGATGTATGGAGTGTCAAAACTGACAAAAATTCTTTGCATATGATGAGGAGTAAAACATATGGCAAAATTTCAATGACCTTTAGATTCAATCGATTCAATTCTCATTTAGATTATTGTTTTGTTTCATAGCCTCGAATAGGCCCTTTACATAAAGTCGCCTACTAAGGCCATCTACGATGGCCGCCACAAGATATGGTCACAAACACGCGACATAGAAGCTAGATCCAGCCTTTTTTGAGATCAGTGAAGTGATTACCAACAGTAAAGTGATGGTCGACTTGTGTTGCCGTTTTGGCCTCGTTTTCAATTTATCTGGTAACCATTGTTTGGTGAACAAAATCAGACCAACATTTATTTGTCGTGGCATTTTGTTTTGTACCAGTATGTCGTGACATTGGCTAGGTTTCTTTTCAGAGACTTCATAACAATGAGCTTTTTTGTTTTCTTTAACCACATCTCTAAACAACGCCTCATTTATCGATAAAACTGTGTTTCGATCCCCATCACAGTACACTCGCATCATAGCACAGTACAAGGTAAGTCGTCTATTTCTCTTGCTTAGATAAAAGTAATTTTTGTGATAACTTTCTGTTGTTTGCACTCTTGTCTAATTCCATACACTCTTGATGTTCATTTGCAATCTCTGTGCGGTTTTCTTTTAAAATAATTTGAAGATACCGGATCGCGAAATACCGGAACACTTTTCATCTGACACCCTTCAGAGAATAAACGTCAGATAATGACATAATGTAAGCTGAAAATTTATATCCAGGTGTAAATCGAACGTACTGGTGAGAAATAAAAACTTGTTTGATTGGTTCTTTTATATTTTACAAATCAGCGACCGCTAAGCTATCACCTCACCTAGTTAAGTTCAAGTTGAGTTTAGTAAGAGTTCAAGATAGAAAACGTACTTTTCTGTCTACACGAGTTGAGATCCTTTGTTGAGATGTAAACATATTCCAAAACTCCTAAAGTAAACGACGACCTTGCCTGCCCAGTGAAAATTGAACTTTTTATTGGTAGGAGCGCAATCCTTTGAATGGACGGAAGCATGACCTTAGTACTATAGACCCACGATGCTTTACAGTGGAAAAACAAATGGTTATTTCGATTTGACTTTCGAATTTGAATCTTCTTGGAAAAATATATCGACAAATCAACAAAAAGTTATCAAATTTCATGTTATCCCTCTAAACATCGACATCGTTCAGTATGTGGCACGGGTTGAATCGAGAGAATACCAGCTATCTGCTACACGAGAATTTGGTCTCTGAATATTTGTAATGGGGTTTTCGTCGTTCTCATTAGATTGTTGTGACAATTTGAGTGGGGCTAATACTGGTGGAGGGAAACTTGTTTATCGGGGTCGCTTATTATCCATGTAGGGCTTAAGATAGTGTCCGGCGCTCAAAAAACTTTGCTGAGGATTTTGCGACAGAGGCCGTGCTGGGCTTGTAAGAGTTGACTAGTTTGTTCTTGATCTTCTCCACCTCTTGTGAGACCTTTATTATCGTAACCACGATGAACAAATTTTGTGGTTCACATACTAAAGCTGAATTCACAATAGACTCGTCACGATGCGTCGCATCACAGTCCGTCACAATGCGCAATTTGGTGTTGCGTAAAAAATGCACTGGAATGTTGTCTGTAGGATTTCAACGATCAACTTTCTCTAGAGAACTAACGAAAAAATAATAATACGATAGTCATATCCTTCCGTATAATATGTTATCCCAGAGTTATTGCAGTTGAGCTTGCCATCTCCAAGCTGTTTCACATCGTCGTATGACTGCTAATAAACATCAAAGCAAACCAACATCTTCTTTAAATTTCTTTGTATCGCATAAAAACGGATATTTTCTAACTGCTTCCATCAAACGTTCCTTGTTGATATGTTTCACGACCATTTTTACGCTAGTCAGCTATTGAATTTATCAACTTTGACGCATCACTGAGAAAACGCGCTGCGTACGCATCGCGTCAAAAACGCGAACCATATACGGGCAGTGTCAAAAAAGGGGCCAATGTAAATTCCGCTTACCGAGTTGTTTAAGTTGAAATAGATGCAACCTTTTTCCATGGAATCCATACCGCTTGACCTCTCAACCAATTATATTCAAAGCATTGTGTCATAACTTCAGCAACAAGGTAAGCCTCGTGCTGTGTCATAGTCATTCTGAAATACATTGTATTCGTAGTAGTATTTCGTAAAAGTATTCGTAGAATGTATTATATATTCGTAGAAGTAGTATTTCCTGTCAAAAAGCGAAAGCAAACAGCTGTGGAGCTTCCTTGACCTCCCTTGTAAATGCTGAAAATAAGCGTTTTTCTACTCTTTGCTTTTTTTTGAGAATTTATTTGCAAAGGCCCAAAATTAGGGCTCATCCAATTCCATTCTGTCCTCATCCAAAGATGAGGTCAAAGGAAAATTTATTCCAGCTTTTTTCTGACTAACGAATTTGATTACTAATGAAAAAGTAACAGAAAGATTCAAAACTGTTTATGTAACAATATTTATCAATGTTGATCCAATGATAACAAACCTCATTTATAATAAACATCTTAAACAAACTTTTTTCTCCTTGTATAATTTGACTTAATAATGGGCCTCCTCGAAATGTCGTATAAAAAATCGTTACTTTTTCCATGTACAATTTTACTAAGGTTCCTAGTTTTACTTTATTACAATATACAGCACGCAAGCTAGTATACTTTTTCCCTTGTATCTTTCAATTGGCTTTTTTATCTTTTATTTATTGAAAAATTAAAAATCTGCCGGTTTTGCTGCATAAAATGCATATACGGTTTTAAAGGTGCCCTACTTGATGTATTGATGATGTTATAACTGAAGAAGCCCTTTGTCGTGCTAAACTTGCAATCAAACATGATGCATAGAGCTTCGGAAGCAGATCTGAGCCTGCATGTGACATCTTCCTTAGTCTGAGTGCACATGATGCGCCTTTATCTTCTGACTTCATAAACAGGCTTGCCCTTGACATAAGCAAATCTGACACAAGCTCTTCAATCTTGAGTGCTCCAAAAATCTTACCTTTAAGGTCCATGATGGTGGTTAAACATAGGTATCCTGTCACTGTGTACGAAGAATGCCGGTACTCTTTTGATGCTTTGTAGGTAGTTTCATAGCATCCGCTACACCCATGGGTAGTTATACTTAATACTTGAGTCGCTTTTTGGAATGGAAACCGTTATAAAGCTTTCAATATTAACTGATGCGATGATTTTCGAACCTTTCACCTACAGCATCTGAGGGCAGAAACGCTGAGCCGCTAAATTTAGTTGTTTGTTGCGACAGAGATAGTTATTCTTTGCTTACTTGCTTTTTGGATTACTGGCTTGCTCACAATTACGTACGAAAGATTCCTCTTCGTAATCAAGTAATTGCACTGCAGTGAGATCATTATGCTGGAACCATTTTGTCAGCGCGGGTCGTTAGGGTTAGGGTTAGGGTTAGGGTTAGGGTCGATTTCTCCTTCTGCAAAGGTTGATAGTGGAATCCAAAGATCTGGAAACTTGCTGCGTCATAGACGTCCCCGCCGTTTATAAAGAAACTTTAAATATGCGAAACGCATTTTGAAAAAGCAACCGAATAAGAAAAATTATTCGTGTTATGTTATTAAGCGAAAAATGTCCTTCGTCAAATAAAAAAAAACAAAATCCCAGTTAGGTTCCACTCACAGAGCCCCAATAAATTAGTTCTGTAAACTTGCTGAGTCATAGCTCGTGCCGCCGTTTTGTAGGTTATTTAAGTCTGTGAATCGCAATCTCATAGAGCATAAAGGTTCTTAGTTGTCTGGGAAACAGACGGGAAGCGCATCTAGAAAAGTTCAGACTTTTAAGACAACTGGAATCTTCGTTGTCGTCATCATTGTCATCGTCGTCATCATAATCATCATCATCATCATCATCATCATCATCATCATCATCATCATCATCATCATCATCATCATCATCATCATCATCATCATCATCATCATCATCATCATCATCATCATCATCATCATCATCAGTTTTGTCCACATCGCCAATTCATAATATCGAAGTAGCATTCCTCCACATTCTTCGTACATTGCAAAAGCCGTGCTATTTTTTTATCAAGCTTTCAATTGTTCCTTCATTATCCCGATTCATTTTCTCAACTAAATCATCTATAGCAGAGTGAATAATTTCGTTTCGATTTTTTTTGCTGAAATGGCATCATCATCTTGTCGGGCTGGTTACTCGTACCAATGTGACCAATATCTCATAACACCAGAAAATGTAATTATTCGCGATTATCCCGATTCATTTTCTCAACTAAATCATCTATAGCAGAGTGAATAATTTCGTTTCGATTTTTTTTGCTGAAATGGCATCATCATCTTGTCGGGCTGGTTACTCGTACCAATGTGACCAATATCTCATAACACCAGAAAATGTAATTATTCGCGAATCTTTGAATTTGTATGACACTAATAAAAAAGTGGTACAAATGATTGTAAGAGTTTGTTATTTGATATGAAACGAAATAAATATGTTATCAAACTATAAGGGAGTATTGTGAAAAACCAAGTAAAACGCAACTGTTAAGAGAATTATGTCCTCTTTGATGTTTTTGTCAAACTCGATGAGGCCACGTCAAAAAGAAACTTAGAAGATCTATTCATAAAAAGCATGAATTAAATGTGTATTTGTATTCATAGTCACCAATCTAATTCATTCTTTTTTAAGAACACCACAAAAGTTGCGTTTTTTAGTTCTAGCTTTTCATGCTCTTTGTTTCAGTGGCGGAAATTGAGCATTTTCCTGGGGGGGGGGGCAAAGACATTTAATAAACCGACAAAATTTTTGCATCCATTTCTGGCAGGGATGTAGTCGTATAATTTTAACACGGGGGGCTCTATGAAATTTCTAAGTTTTCCTTTCATGTAGCAATTGCAATTTGAGCATGACGTGTGTTGATGTTTTTTCCGATCATTGGTCGAGCAGCCAGGTAGGTACATTGATTGTTTCAGCGGGCAGCTGAGATCAGAACATTGATACAATGGAAAGGACGGGGGAGAATGCTGCGCCCCCCTGAGCCCCCTCCCCCACCACTACGTCCCTGATTTCTAGGCACTACATTCATTTTTTCATAAGAAACTGGCTATAAGAAACGAGTACTGGACACGAGGGCCCTTCTACGGCTTATTTACTTTGCTGATAAATTTTATATTGCGGATGAGTTTATTCTGGACATGAGTTATTCTGGATATGCTTGCTTTCGGGGACATCCTAAATTTACAGTTGCGCGACTGAATTTGAGTTTTGCCTCCTTCCTGCTGAGCCTCCTCCCATCTGAGCCTCCTCTCTGCTGAGCATTTTGGCGATTCTTTGTGTAGAAAAAAACGATAGAAGGGATTGTTTGTGATTGACATACTCACTTGTCACCTTGCCGATAAGGGAAAAGCGTGTGCACGACGCGACGACTTGGGTTTGCCAATGTTTGCCATCGAAAATTTCATCCAGGAGCAAACAAAGACTGTTTTGACCAAAACCAGATTTAAATTTACCGACAAAATCTCAGATTTGCCGACAAATTCTTCCCGGGGGGGGGGGGCGCTCGCCCCCTACACCCACACAAATTCCGTTACTGCTTTGTTTTAATTATTTCTTGCTGTCTGATGTACCTGCATTTGTGGGAGAGACTTTAGATAGCAGTAGGGCTAAAGTAGGAATATTAAACAGTCGAATTATCTGGTTATTAGGTTTTTAAGAGGCCAGCAGAGCCAAAGGAGACGCCTTAACTTTCAAAATTGTCCGGGGAGGCCAGCAGAGCCAAAGGAGACGCCTTAACTTTCAAAATTGTCAATACTTTTGTTACGTGCATTTTTTTAAAGAAACAAGTTTAGCATAAACAAAATGGTCAATATTTCATCTGGTGTCTTTAGGATTTCCCTCAAAGTACTAAATACCCATAACAGTTCCTCATTTACCTAAATGCCAAGTAAATGAATTATTACCCATTTTACCACAGCGCAAGGTTTCTTTTCATTTCCTCAAACGTCGTCTTCATACATTTTTAATTTTGTTTTTGAAGAGTCGGTTCATTCTTTGTGCGAGTCAACTTTTCCTGACACCTCCCTAAAAAATTTTTTAATTTGAATCCAAGTAAAAGTAGAATTCCCCATTAAGAAAAGCTTGTAGCCATTCTGAACTCATAATGCTGACCAATTTTTTCTTGCAGTTTCCGAAAAAATTGTCAAGATGCTGATTTCAGCCTTCATCCTCGCTTCCTTTGCAATAACATCATTAGATGGCAGCTATTTCTATATCTACAAGGATTTCCAGTCGAAGGGTGTATGTTCCTACAAAGGATACATGCCAGGGGGTGGTAAACCAAATATTTCTCCAATTAAACCCCCGACTGCAACTATGCCAGCCAATGCTCTAGCTAAGATTGCAGGACTGGGAAGCAAAAGTGCAGCTTTGGCCATGCACTCATCAAATCTGATGAAAGCCCTTGGCAAAGGCTCTGCATTATTTCTCAAAATTGCCCCAAAACTTGGCCCAGCTTTAGGAGTTTTTGGAGCAGCCCTCGGATTTGTCACAGCCTTCACATCACCAACACCACAGGACATCCTAAACCAGGCAAATAAGGCCATTGCAAAACTGACAGCTGAAGTAAACGACCGATTGGTAAAAATGGAAGGCTACGTCGATTATAAAGTTATCAAGTTAGAAAAGGACCTTGTTAACAGAGAGTATAGATCCTTATTCAACCTCTTTGGAAACTGTGCCAAGGAAGCTACCAAAGATCAAGTAAATGAATGTATGCGAGATGCAGAGATGAAAGCCGCTTCAGATGCCCCAAAGTACATGATTCTTGACACAAAAATGGGTGCATACACCGATTCCACCAAATTCAGAAGTTACTACGACAGTAATCCTTCGAAAGCCCCTTCTTATTATGATGTGAAGAGGATCGAAGCAGGAATAATTTCTTTTCGTGATTATGCCACCTTGCATTTGTTAATGATTAGCACATTGCTTGACACTTACAAATCGGACGCTACCCTTCCCAATGCAGCTTACTATGTGACACGTTACACTAGGGAGCAAGCTTCAGCAGGTACGTCTGTCGCTACATTTCCAAAGATATGCTAGTATTATAAAGCCATGTTCTCGTATGTTACGTCACAAATCCTATGACACTATTAAACATCCTTCACTTTTCTCTACTGGATCCTTATTTCTTTTTCCTTGGTATGCTTGCATTTTGTTATTCCTGCACGTGCGTTAATTCTTCTCTCTACCTCTTCTCATAACCTTGAAATTTAAGTTCACATAAAACGTACATGCAAATTGCATGTTTTATGTGATCTTCAAATTCAAGATTGCTGTCGATATTAATGTCAAGAAGTTTAAAATAGGTAGGATAGAGCCATGGAATTATTCTGTACCAGTACATTATCGGTCTGCATTTTTGCTGTTTTCCTCTCTGTTAACTCGATGTCATGCTATTTCGTAAGATCTCTCTGGACCATTATTATGTCATTATATTTGTCTTTTTATTGTCTAGGATTGGTAAATTTTGTGTACTTCTACTTTTGTAATGATATTGTTTATAGGGGTCCCTTTTGTCCGGATAATGCCTTCATTTGCATAGTTACCTAGATTGGTTATTTTAAATTGAAAAATTTATATCGTTAATAATAAACAATGGGACCTAAGATAGAGCCTTGTGATACAGCATGGTTTGATTCTAGCCACTAACTAAATTTATCATGAGATGTACAGAGTTTTTATTAAACTAATATGCCTGACGTTTGCAATAATAATTAGGTGTCGAAAACAGTCAAATGCCTGGAAAAGATCAGCAAAAGGCAGTCATTTAACTCTTTGTTATCTAAGCATCAATTCAGGTTCCCTTACAGACGAACGAGGAAATGTTCAATCCTATTTTGCAATCTTTACCGACAAGTTACCTTTTTATACTAGCTTGGAACAAGATTTTGAAGTCAAGCTCAATACTTTGCCCTGATTGACTCCCAGCCACCATCTTCGCCTTAATTATTATATTCAAGATGCATTATATTTCAGCTGCCAAATACGCAGGATATGCTGATTGGGCTTACAAGTGGATTCTTTCTCGAAATTTTGGCGAAAACCGAAGTAACCAATTTAAAAAATCATGCCAAAATGCCAAAGAATTAAAGGAAGGGTGGTTTGTTCCAGTACGCACTGCCTATTACTCGCATTGTTCCATTCAATGCACTGGAATGAATACACCAGCAAACTGTGATTACAGAGTTTTGATTCGTGCTGATGGAAAACGACCCAGTTCTTACTTCAGTTATTACAATTCAGCCTGCGGAAGGTTAGTAAACCCAAATTCCGTGCTCTGAAGTTTTGAAAAGTTGTGGCTTGTTCTGGTTTTCAGCAATTTTTAATTCATTGAAATATACCTGAAAGGTTCAGAAGATCTTGGTAGCACCAATGTCCATTATCAGCCCATGCCTTGTAATTTGATGTTGATGGCTATAAGGCTGTAAAGAACGTTTATAGTCGAAACAGAAGACTAGTCGACAAAAGCCGTAATTACATATTTATGCACATATACTATACATACATTTTTGCAATGGTTAAGTAATGGATTTGTGTTACATCATCATAATGGCTATAGTTTTCAATTTTATGAATGTTTTTGAAATATAGACTTCTTTGTTAAATGTGTAGAAACATAACGAAATAGATTAATTAGTAACGAGCCCTATGTTATTCACTAGCTGTTTCTCGTCAGTTGCTGTGCAATATGGTCTATCTGTAAAGGGGTCGCAAATTTGCGCTCCTTTCTTGGCTTCTTTGAATAAAGACATCAAAACCTACTACGATAAAACATTGGTGTATTCGGTAAACATTTGGAAAGAGATTGCGGCAAAAGCAAAGGCAGCCCAAGGTGACGAGCCTCTGAGCAATACTCACGATGCAGGAAAGTATGATTACAGCGAAAAATTCAGTGTTCGTTTAAGGATCGCAAGAGACCAAGCCAAAGATCAGTATATGGATAGCATCAGATATGAAGAGAAGCAGAATGACAGACAGGATGAAGAAAGAGATGAGGCCAGCAGGCATGAAGCTGAAGATGATCTTGAAGATGACGAAGATGAAGTTTATGACTACGAAGAATAGTCTTTACTTTTATACAGTCAGGGAGATTAGACTCAAAACTAGAGCACTATATACGATTTTTAGTCTGGATATTGATATCTTTTTCAATGGAATTTTTGTAATCTCAGCATTTTAAAGATCAGTTTGAAGTTGTTTTTGTGAACCCACCCTGAGGTAAATTTGAACAGGTTGGGCCTAAACGCAACTCGATTTACCATGGCCAGTCCTTGCATGGAACCATTCTTTGTTCAAGAATGGTATTAAATGGTGGAGTAAAAATACAAAATTTTATTAAAATGAGGAATTCTTAGTATGTTAGTTTGATTCTTACGTAATAATTCTGAAATTCGATTAAAAACAAATAAATGAAATTACTTGCACATCAACTAACTAGAAAACATTAACTGAAACAAAAATAATGCCTAGAGAATCATCGCCTTTAAACTGAAAATATATTGATAAATACGTGTTCTCATTTTTGATTGTTTAGAGCAAATCATTAGGTTCAGTGGCGTTTCTACAGGGAGGCCATGAGGGGCATGGCCACCCAGAAATTTTCTTAGCCTCTTGTTTGCCCCCCCCAGTTTTTTCAAAAGTTTCTATTAAAAATTCAATGTTTTCTTCCAAAGCTGCTCAATCGCTTTTTGACTTTGTTAGGGTTGCTCTCTTTATTTTGCTCAATGCGATCTTATTGCATTTATTTAACAAGTTAAGGGTCATGATTATTGTTTTGGTTTGTAACCGAGGTGAAAATTAGTGAAATTTTGGCTCCTTTCTATAGTAACCAAGAAAAATTTATCTCGAAAATCATCTGGTGATACGTTTGGCAGTAGTTTTTAAAAAACAGAAAAGAGCATAAGAAGATGAAAAAATACATCTAATGTATCACATGCTAAAAATGGTTCAGGAATACTAATGTCCTTCCAAAATATGATTAAAGAATTATGATTCTAAGTCTGGCTCGTCCTCGAAAGCATCAAAGCAATTCAAGTGCTCGAAAGCATCAACTTAAAAACATGCTGAAAATGTTTGTTACCTGTTTTGGTTCAGCGTTTGGATTGGTAAAATCTTTGACAAAACATATACTCCTCTTTAGGCATACTCCTTTAGTAAAAATTGTCAATTTTTGTGAGAAATTTTTGACTCAACTAAGGACTGAAAAAGTTGAAGAAAATTAGTTGATACACAATAAGGCATTCCTGAATTTTGGCAAAAACTTTCAGTTTCCAGGCAGGCAACCTTTGAGCTTATCTGCATAATACAGAAAATTGTTAATTTTGGGTGAAAATTTTTTATATAAAAAGGAAAATTTGAATGGTTAAAGAGTTTGAGCGTCTGTGACAGATTGTTATTCTTTACAAATAATTTTTATCCAGTCATCCATAAAACTGCAATCTGAAAGATGCAAGAGCGATTTCTAAATTAAAAATGAGCGATTTCAAGACTGGTCAAAACAGCTAACTAAAATGTAAAACAATCTTTTGACTGTCCAACTGTACTTCAACGAGAAAATATTTTCTATAGTACACCATACTTTTGCATCATTAAATGATTTTATTTGATTGCCAATTTACAAAGTAGGAGCGTTTTTCTTCTAAAAAAGATACTGACGTGAGAAAATTTGTCTCCCTTTGATTTTTACTTGGGATATTTTCTGAAAAAACAGTAACATATCAATACAATATATAAAAAGAGTTAATCTAGATCAGAGACTAAAAGGATGGAAATCAACTCTAAACGATTTTTCAATTTTAACGTAAAATCAATTCTCTAATGTAACGGATTGGGACTTACAGATTTATAAAGATAAAAATTTACTCAATTCTTATTCATCTAGAATCAAAACTTGTAACGTCCATCACCCACTGCTGGGTCATCGAGCCTTGGTCGCATCTGTTCAGCACCATCCCTTTATCGCTTTGCGCCTCTACGCTGTCTAAACACAAGCTAGACTGAATGTGAAGTAAATGTGACGTCATGTCCTCGTGTTTCCATTTCTAGACAATCAAAAAGATAAAATTACTCGAATGGAAGTATCGTCTATAAAACAGACAGCTTGATAATTTACTTACAAACACCACTGGACCATGTGAAAGCTAGGCCACTAGTGAAGCCATGGACTAGTTCCCCGCATTGCCCAATTTCTTAAAAAGATCGCTTCACAGGTGATGAATTTTAGAATTTGCATATTGATAATATCAACTAGTCTTTTGGAGACAGTTACTTAGGGAATGCTTATATGAGCCAAATTACCCCCATATTGCAGCCAATGACCAGAGAGGTGAGACCCGACCTTCTTATACAAAACTTGCTAAATTTTCACCTTGTGATTTTCACATCAAAAACGGTTTACCTGAGGCAAATGTGATCTTACTCTCAGATTGCTGGATCTCACACTTGGGATGCAATTTACACAATTGACTGACTGGACGTTGAGATGAAATTTTTGCGCAATTATGTGCACGTGCTCAAATTCCAGTAAAAAGATGGCGTGTTGCAAGGCACTTCGAGGGGGGATTAAAATAAGGCATAAAGTGGAAGGCGGAATGAAACTTTCATGGGCAAATTCACAGATTCAGGCAGGAAAATGGGATCATTATGCATATATAAACAGGCTCTCAATTACACGGTTAAAACCGCGAGGAAGACCTGGAAAAACAAAAGAAATTGAAATACCAAGCCAAAACCTGCCTTAACTTCTTTCTTTTCTACAGAAGATTTTCAAAGTATGAGATAATTTTTCCGTAAATAGGATGAACACTTTTCAGGACACTATGATTGTCTAAGTGGGCTATAGGGCTTCTTTGTTATAAAACACTCCAATGAAAAAATCATGGCAAATACCCCCAAAATGAGATGCAGGGAAAAACTTCAAGATAAATAAAAAAGCTCCTCACTTGGTTCTCGTCATCCTTATTGCAGGGCAGTAGTTGGACTGGGGTACCCTCTGAGGCTTGAACGATGGCGAGACATAACCCTTCATGTTTGAGTTGTTTCGATTTCGTAACAGACCACTCCTAGAAGAAGTAACATGAAAACAATCAAAATGAGGTCTATCTTTAGTAACATACAGCTTTGTTTCAAATCGACATTTTACTGAGCCCGGTTAGTTTTAACCTTAAACAAAAAATAAACAAAACTTCAAACATTTACTTTGCAATGACTTTCTATATTGCTAAAAAACAATATCACAGAGAAAATCAAAATGGTAACACTATGAGGTCGAACAAAGGGAGGGGGTTGCATCTTGCAACTTGGAGAGCACGAGATTATGGGAATGCATCTGGAGAAGTTCTGAGTAGGGGGGCAAAGTCCTTAACGAGCTGTAAAGTTTTTCCAGATTAAAATTAATTCTGCTAGAAAACTGTATTTAAGGAAGGTTTTATTTCGATTGGCTTTACTGAATCAGCAGCCTCCAAAGAAACATAGACTTTGCTCCGATGACATTTAAAAGTATTTACATAGAGTGTGAGAAAGATACAGGATTCTGACAAGACTCAAAAATCCTTACCTGATTTCCACCCTGACCATGACATTCGAAATACCCTACGGTTTGACCTTCACCATGACCAAGGGTATCGATGCATTTATCCGCCTGCTTTATTGACCCATATGATATGGTATCATCGGTTGGTATTCTGTAGAGAAGATTATAAACACTATAGTGATAGAAGGGCAAAGAGGCATTGTGCATGAGAATTGTCTTGATTGAAATCAACAAAAGTGTGGTTTTGCCTTCACATAAAATCTAATTTTAAAATCTTTTTCCTTTAAAAAGTTGTGTTGTGTAGTCAAGTACACTTTGTCAAGTACAGGAAAAGGTTTCTCGACAAAAACATGTATTTTTGTGCTCCGGAGTTGAAAGTGTATGGGCCTAATCCCACAGAAAACTTGGTTGTGACGAAACCAAGGGGTTGATCTTTAGATATCTACGTAAACCTCTCTGGTGACAAGCGCTGCAAATTGTAAGCAAGCATGCTCATTTTTTCATTCAAGCATGTGATTCTCCAAATCCAAAAACACAATATAAAACAGTTGAGGATACACAATAAAAAAGATGCAAACCTTTATGGACAGAGACCTTCAACTGGAAATGAAAATTATCCACTGTCGTGCAATCACCCTTAACTTTCCAAAAAAACTTATCTGATCCCACGTAGGCTTACAACATACCACAATTCTAATTTCCGGTTAGTTTTCAGTCAGAACTGTTTACGTGTGAAAAACGTACAATGTTTCTACTAAATCTACTGAAATTATTATCAAACTGCCGGGTGGTCCAAAAGCAGGTCCCAGCCTATCCCCCAGAAACCATCACAAGGACCATCAAACGCGTTTAGACAACTTCCCTCGTTCGCCACCGGTGGCCTCGGGCCCATAAAGGCATGGGTAGGAGGCTAAAATGGCAACAACTTCACCAAGTTACCAACTAATGCTTATTTCCAAAGAACGTAAGTAAGATGAATGCACTGCCTCAGCTATAACAGTAACCGGGCCTAGCGAGAATGAAAGCTAGGATACTATTCATATCTGCAAATAAAAAGAAAACATTTTGAAACATAAACTTACTTCAGTTCGGGATAGACGTTTTCCACATACCATTTAAATGGTTTGCATTTTAGTTGTTTTCGTAGCCTCATCCGTTCACTGATGCTGTAAAACAAATAAAACCGCTTGCCTTATTCTGAGAAAAGTATTTGCAAACATGATCAGTAATCATTGCATCACTTGTGAAATGATCCGCAATCATTGCATCACTTGTAAAATGATCTGCAATCATTGCATCACTTGTAAAATGATCCACAATCATCGCATCACCTGTGAAATGATCCTCTGGTTTTTCTCTAATCAATTAAATTTGATTTTGGTCTATATTCATCTCTAATAACTTTCTGGCTTTAAATACGTTTTGTGCAGCAATAGAACAAGCACTATCTTTAGTTCAAAAGCATTTAAAAATTTTGCCAGATTATAAAAACCGATGATTGTTGCTGGTATGTGGTAAAGAATAATGATAAAATCCTGCAGTACATTCTCTCAAACTCTGTTCGGCAAGAGCTGCTTTCATATTGAGAATTATTTCCTATCATAATTGCCAACTCGAAGTAAACTGGTCTCAAAATGAACACTTAATTCGAAAGTATTGCAGTACAGTAGGTTCCTGCATATAAGAAACCACCTCGTATAAGAAACCAGCCTCAAATTCTTTCCAAAGGGCTCCGTTTATAACAAACAATTTTAGGTCTGAAATTGAAATGTTTCTTATTTTCAGATCCGTCATACTTCATTCTTGTATGCCAAAAAATAATCCCCTAATTTTTTTAATGCAATGTAGTGTTTAAAACATAATTTGGTATAACCAAACACGGTCTAACACTTAAAGTTTAGTTGCTTATTTAAAAAATGTGTAACCTATATATAAGAAACTTTTACCCTGATTATAAAAAGGTATCTTAAAATAAGAAAGGTTCTGAGGCCTCAATTTAAAAAGTGGTTTCTTATATGCGGGAACCTACTGTATTTGAGGCTAATAAATTTAGACTTACTCTCCGTAAGGTGAATTTTTTGCATAAGGTACGGCTGCATAATAATATCTTTTATACTCGTCCATCCACACTTCAGCAGCTCTTCGCGTGTTCCTGAGAAGGAGGAAGTCATCATAATAATCATGACACTCATCATAAATGTAAACAAGTTAAATTAAGACGAATAAACTTGCAGATAACCTTAGTTACATTCGGAGTACTTTAGTTTGTAAAACAAAGGTTTTTCACAAATCTAAGTTCAGTTTGAGATTAGCATTGAAAGCAATGAAAAAACCGTTTGGCAAAAGTTCCAAAAACTAATTTATTGGTTAAATTTCAAAACGAAGGGGATTTACATGACAAAGCACAAGAAATATTAGCACAAGAAGCAAATCTACAAATGCCTTTTTTGAATAAATATTATGAACAAAAATTATACAAATAAATTAGCCGTGTAGCTATGATGAAGCTTAAACTAAAATGAATAATTAATTATCTCACTTTTGGAATACATTCATGCTTCCTCCAGGGAATTTGTAAGGGTGTCGATTTCTGAACACGTGACCGACTCTTGAACACGGAATAATTTCCATTCTACCTCCACATTGCCAAGTTCTGAAGGATATTTCTGTGAAAGGAAAGAAAATACCCAATTATTTGCCTGACACCAAAGCGTCAAAATATTTTAGAAGAAAAAAAAATTAATCAAGTTTTCTTGATATCTCCATATATATACCGAGAAAGACAGTCTTTCTAATGCTAAAATATACTAGCCCTTTCAGTTGAAAAGAACCACGAATAAATTTGCTGCAAATATTAATCAAGTTGACATTACCCAAATTTTCGCCACCCCAGACATCCATGTTCATGTCATATTTTCCGAGCTCTGAAAACCAGTTCTTGTCAATAGCAAATAGTCCACCAGCAATTACAGGGCTCCTAAAACATAGAAAATAAGTTTTTGTTTCATGGAAAAACAACGAGAGCCATATATGGAATAGTTAGCCTCGTATCAAGATTACATTTGCCTCGTATTGATGGACGTCTTGGATCGAGATTACTTACCGCCTTCCAAAGAGTAGTAGCCCTGGCTTTACTTGTTTTGAAAAGTAAAGCCAATTAAAAAAAGCCACGGTGTTCTACTACATTTTCAAATGTGTATTCATTGTCGTCATTAAAATCTCGAATTTTTAAGCGCTCGGGTAGTAGCTGCGAATTTTCTACCGACATGGAAACTGCTTCAAGCACTATCAAATATCTCAATAAACTTTTGATAGAAAAAGCAAAAAATTTGGCGTCAAAAATGTTATTAAACTTACTTGATAGGAGCAGAAGGATCGCTTTGGTGTTCAGCGAGAGCATTTGCCGGAAGAAAGTCCCATTTGAAGTTCAGATTCCATCCGAAACCTAAAAATTAACATGTATTCTCATAATTCTTAACTTTTGTCAAAAGAGGCTTGATGGCTACAGCAAAGCCGAGTCTGAAATGAATAAAATCTGACCATCATACCCAGAAATTAACATACAGCTTCTACAAGAGCCCATACCTCAGAAGAACTTGTCTATTTATCTAAATGTCACTTTTAGTTTTCATCCCATTTTCGACAATCTTCGACATGAACCTGGAAGTGATTACTTGGACAGGTTTTATAGATAACTAAATGCACTGCGAAAATTGGGTTTTGTACTTGCAAGCGATTTTTTGGTGAGCATATTTCAAAATCTCTGAAATTTACAAGCCAGCGATTTGCAGACAGGTTCGCTTAAACATGATAAAACTAAAGCTTAAAAAGTAGAAACAATAGAGTTCTAAAGTGATGACGTCACAAAAATCTATTTTTAGAAGTTTTTAATTTTGACTTCATAACCTGAAAGATCATCATGAAATACCTCTAAATATGCAAAATCAGGCAAGTGTATTACGAAATGGCAGAGATATGGCCACATGTTCACTGGTTCTCTCCCCATCAAACCTCTGTATTTTGGTCTCTGTTCATAACTTTATGAACAGAGCCAAAATAACAGTGATTCGTTAGCAAACTTCAAATCTTTTATTAGCCATATTTCAACCGATTTTAGACATATCTGGCCAATTTTGCATATTTGGAAGTATTTCATGGTGATCTTTTATGCTATGTGGTTAAAATTAAAAAATTCTAAAATAGGTTTTTGATGACGTCACACTTTAGAACACTCTCCTTGGTGGTGATGGTCTGTGACGCAGGCTAAACTAAACGAGCTTTATCTTGATGAGAAAGAATCACAACTTTAATAAGCTTATCGCAGGCTGGCTTTAACCAACAAAACATATAACAGCTACTCGACCATATTGTCTAGCGTTAGGGTTAGGGTTAGGATTAGGGTTAGTATTAGGATTAGGATTAGAGTTAGGATTAGGATTAAGATTAGGGTTAGGATAATGATTTGAACGATTGGCAAATGGATTCCGGTTATTGAAAAATTTGGCAAAAGTAAAACCAGTCTTCTTTGATATTACTTTCACATTTCCGTGAGAAGCTTATTCAAAATCTACACGATAACCCTTCAATTGTCAAAATAAAGATATTGATAAGGAATCGGAAACATTCATAAACAGCCACCAGTGAAAAAAACATTTTTTGAAGCCAGGTTATGCAAGACCAATTTTATCTAATTATTCAAAAGCAAGACTGGTTGTCGAATTGCAGCATGAAATGATTGTAAAAATATAAGTGTAACTATACAGGTGCACTCTTGAAAACACAATCTTTATTTTCATTTCTTTATCATTACGTTTCAAGTTCCAACACTTTATCTGCTGAACTGATCAAAAAATAGCTACAGTTTGTTAAACTGCCCGTTTCAGTTTTATTACGACCGAAAGTACAACATTGATAAACCAGTGAGCTAAAAATGGTAGAACTACTTTCACGTCCAGAATAATAGGGGAAGCAAGAATAATTCGAATGTGTGGAACTTTCCTACTGAAGAATAATAGAAATGGATGGATTTTTTCTCAAAATAGATAAAAGTAGGTTGGGTGGAATGTTTACCGTGAAATGTTTAAAACTTGATGTAGTACTCCTTTTCAATAGTAGTTTTATTGGAGCTATTGCGTGCTCTTTCAATTTGGGAAAACCAAACATAATAGGAAACAATTCTTCTCACTACACTTGCTTCCAGCATTGCAGAATAGACTTTCTGAGAAAATTGATAATTCCGACACATAATTCCGTAAAATTGATAAAGGAGTGGTAGGAATAAGCCAGTCTAAGACCCCATTTACACTGTGCCGGATAAAATTTACCGCATAAAACTTGTTCGGATTGATTTGCGTCTACACTGTGCCGCACAAATTTTGTCCACTGTGCCCTCCCGTTTACACTGTGCCGGATAACTGCAGTCACATGACTTAAATCATGCACAGAACGGCCAAAATGAAGTCTTCTCTAGGCAACAAAATAATAACAAAATTCCCGCGAACGTAAAAAGACTTCATTCTCTCTTCAGAATCATCTGCTTCTCTTTTAGACCAAATCCAAAGATACTGTCAATACAAATTAGTCCTAGTTTGTTTTAATAGTTTGTTCTTGAAACAAAATGACACTGAACTAACAACGAAAGTAGGGAAAGATGACAAGGATGCCAATTTTACGTGGACTGGCAAGATACTGCACTTTTAACACGAGTATTTATCGACAACAAGGCAGCCAAGATGGCGAAAGGTCTTGATTGGGAGACAGTAAAAACTAAATTGAATGAAATAGCCAATCGCTATCGAGCAAGATACGATGTGGACAAAATTTATCCGGATAAAAGCGTTTACACTGTACCACATAGCTACCCGAACTAATTTAATTCACTTTTCTAGGTGAACTAATTTTGTTCGGATAGCCGCTCTCAAATCTGAACTTATTTTGATGCGGATAAAATTTATCGGGCACAGTGTAAACAGGGGTCTAAAATTATGAATATGAATAAGGAAGTTATGGGTGGAGTTCTTCTCCAAAGCTAAATAGCCTACCAGCCGGCTTTCCAGGGAATACATTAGCACATGTGTGGCATTTTGCACTCCTAGATTGTGGTGGTAATGTGATGGAGTGCTTTTGATGTTTTATAGCTGATTTCTGCAAACGTTCAGTTGCGTAGTATATGGAGCCATAAAACCTAAATTCTTAAATCAGTTCGTCGGTCCCCCCACAACTTTAACAAAAAATATATTTGGTTTTAACTAAAGAAAGGTAAGCTGGAAGAAATATTGAAAGCAGTGTTAGTGTTTGTCAGGCCTGTAGCTTTAATTTATTTTAATGATGTGTCAGGTAGTTGATCATGTTATGTCACTGGTCATGTCTTTAAAAATGTGTTTAAATAAAATTGGGAACTTATCCAGGTGCGTTTTAAATTAAAGGAGGGTATCTTTGATCGCGATAACCCCTGTTCAGCCTATGGCAAGTGCGCCCAGAGATCGGAGTTTATGGTAGACACACTTTGACATATTTTGCATGTGTTGTTGAAATGCTTGATCCCAAGGGCTCATCCTTAACAAAATGTAGTGCAACTCAAGCTCAGGGGGGGGGGGGGGCTAATTTTGAACGGGGACGTGCTATTTTGGTTAAAAGATTTAGACCCATGCTTCCGCAAATGTCTGAAAAACGTGACCCATAAATCCGCAAACATGATGAAAACTATGCCCATAATTCTGCAAAGCAAACAACATTTTTAAAGCACAAAAAAACATCAAACAAATTTTGCATGTCCTTTGCCTCAAAATCTCAATATTACACATATTTCATACTTTAATTTTTAACTGGACATTCATTTTGTTAAATGTAAATCTTGCTCCTAGTAGTTTTACAATATTTTCCCAAAATGGTACCCATTTATGTTTCTCACATTTATGTATGTTGACACACTTAAAAACTCTATTGTCACTAGTCGCCAATTCTAAACGTTTTGGAAGTTTCGAAAAGTTTCGAAACTAAACAAGGGAAAGTTTCGAAACTAGACAAAAGAAAATAACTTAATAAAGCTCACATGTTCAAGGCGACGCCAGGAACAATTCTTGAGTAGATTGACAGCAAAAATAACGGATAAAGATAATTTATCCATTCAAATTTAGTAATTGGGAAATCAGAAGAATTCTCATCCATTTTGGAAAGAATTTTAAGCCAATAGAAAGATATTTTCGGGAAATCGGTCAAGCAAAAAGTAGAACCACTGCAGATTTAACATAGTAAATAACTCGATTCAAAGCCATTCTGTTATCGTATTAGTTTCCAGTGTGGGGAGGCGTGTGCCAACGCGTGCGAGTGCGATTGTACACCTTTCCTGGAAGGCCTGCTACCAGCTTAATTATTCCAGACTTGATAGTGCAGTCATAATGGGACAATAAAATTGCAAGGAAACTACAAAATATCTATCAAAAGCAAATAATATTAAGCGCACCTCCTCTGAGATCTGATGATGAACTCAGATATTGAAAATTGTCCATACTGATAACATCAATAATCGGAGAGGTGACAATCTTCTTGTTCTGTTTAAAGTACAAAAGAACAGAAAATAAAAAAATGGCTGGATATCAACAAAAGCCCTTTGGCATCAAAGTAGAATCATATAGTAGAAATGGACACTTAATACGTATCAGCAAAACAAACTTGAAAATGTTCCTATTAAGAGTGAAAAATAACACAATAACTGTATTGAAACAAGAACCAACATAAGTGCCTCACATGTTTTATCCTCTGTAATAATGGTTGAATCCAGTCTGGATTACACTCACAATGGCTATCTAAAAACGTTAGAACTTCTCCTTTTGCAATATCTGCTCCTTTAACACGTGACCTGATCAAACCTTTGGATAAAATTATAGAAAAATTACAAATAACACAAAAAAAAGAAAAAACATAACCACTGAAAACTTATATCTCTTGTGTACTACACTGAGTTTTGATACATCATCTCGGCAAAAAAACAAAAAATCACTAACATAAAGGACTGAAAATAAAAATTCTTGTGTCTCTTTTAATTTCACAGCCATTAATTGCTTTGTATATTTAAATTCAAATCAAACTTCTTGATCTTTACCTGTGCCATACAACAAGGCAGATCTATGATAATATAATTTTTATGCACATTTTATTTGTTTACATCCACTGAAATTGCATCAAAAAGTGATTTTCTAGATTTGATTTGGTGCAAAATCAAAACCTTGTGGAAATTTTCTCCAGAGGTCCTGCGTGGTCAATTATAAATAAACCATAAAAGTATGTATCAACTTCAAAACCAATACTAACTTTACACAATTCAAAACATTTCACACATTTCTACATTTTAGAGCATACTAGTGGCCAGCACCATTTTCTAATTAGAATACTGGTGACTTAGTTATTAAGTCTTTTAATTATTATGCTTGTTGAATTACCTTCTCTTTTTTCATTTCTGATCAACTTCACTTTGGGAAGCTTCAAAAGCTCTTTTCCATCTTCAGCTAAAAATCAAACAATTTAAAATAGCCATCATTAATACAAATATATCAAATAAAAGAACAGATTATTCAAAATAAACACAGCAATGGTCACACAAACAGCATTTGAAAACATTTTGGTCTATCAATAGCCTCTTTATCAGTTTTTATTTAAGTTGAATAATGAATGCTCTATGGTTGGCTGTTGAAAATGTTTGCATTTCCTCAAGTTTTTTTGTCAAAGTCACCAGTCATTGGTGTATTCAAAGCAGATAAGTTCTATTATCATAAAATTAATTATTTTGACAAGCTTGAAAAATGGAATAAATACATCTATAAGCATGATTGTCTTCATTTTTATTTGCTATATTATATAAGTTCAATGAAAGAGTGGGTTTTCATTATCAGCTGTCTATTGTACAATGAGAATTCACCAGAAAATCATATTACTTCGGTTATCACGTAAGGTTTTTCACGAAGACTACATCTAACTACATGATTGTCAAAGCAGCCATTTATGAGTCCAACTTAGCAAAGGGGCTTGTAAAACATTGTTTCATGAAAACTTAAATCCTAAATTGTGCTGTTATATTTTGCTAACTTCTAGCTACAAAAAATTTGAAATATGTCTTTTGAAAAAGCTTTTTAATTGAAAGTTTTCTATGACTATGTATCCTTTCCATCTGTCGAGGGCACTAGAGTGTATTCATTTTTTGTCTAGCTGTGGGTTTATATCTTGTTAAAAAATTGTTAGGGTTGCAAGAGCTCACAATCCCTTGCATGTCTATCATGGAAAAGAGAAGGCATATACTTACGATTATTACTGAAGTCGTCCACCATGATAATTTCAGATAAAAGATCAGCAGGGGTTTTGTTCAGTACACTTTGAAAACAAATATGTGCATCAAAAATTGAAAAAAGTCAAACTAAGAATAAATAACAGAACCTTGCATGCTTAGCGATGCATCAACCAAACAATATATCATGTTTTATATGTGTATGCAAAAAATGATGCAGCAAGAAGATTGTAAATGGACACATGAAAACTTTGAAGCACGATTCACCAAAGTACTAAACTTAAGTTTCAGATAACAAAATAAAATTACCTTATTACAGTTCTAAGAAGAGCAGATCTTCCTTCATTGTGGAAGCAAATAATCACAGAAGTTGTTGGGAGAATCAAGTCATATACAATGTTCTTGCACCTGAAAAAGCATCAAAATTATTATCAATATGATAAATTTATAGATCTTCCATGTTAAATAATATAAATCTTTAGGCCTGGCTGTTTTAGGCGAGCGATAGCTCCGGCTCACCTCTGTGCTCCCCTTGCACCCTAAGGTGAGCTGTGAATTGCTCTCTCCCCTAAATCACTCCCCTAGGAAGAATCACTCCCCTAAATATTTTCAAATTCTCCTGTCATTGCATTTTTTGCAATTAATTTTTTGCCTGTCTGGCAGTTTTTTTTCTAAAAGTCACAAACTTAATCTATTTGGGAAAGGATTGTGAAGCAAAAGGCATGTTTGCAGAGCTTAGGACCTTTCAATCTTATGAAAACAGGCATATTCTTGATAAGAAAGTAGAAGAAATCGGTAAGAATTTTCAATTGGGGGACAGAATAAAGCAGCAGGTCCCTTCCAATATTAGAAACAAAACTCTATTTCAAAGGGAACAGCCTACTCTGTCTTGCAGATAAAAAACGACAACTAAAACATGCACTTCCACTATTGAGCAGCATTTACTGAAAAACCCAGATTGCATGAAAAGCTTATATCATCTTAAGGCCAGTTTACACTGTGCATTTTTTCCCTGCGTCTGACTCATGAGTCAAACTCATGAGACAAAATTGCATCGTGTAAACAGGACTTGCGTCTAAATTTTATTGCCCTTGCGACAACTCATGAAAATAGAACATGCTCTATTTTCTTGCGACAACGCATGGAGGAGTAACGCTATTAACCAATCAACTAAGAAGAATGAGTCACATGCTTCGAATATCTCAGCTCATAGACGAAAGTTTCGATGGAAGCGGTTTGCTGTAATCGTAAAACATGGATGTTCAAAGCAAAAAAGGATCTTAAAATGATACAGAACTAGCAAGGAAGGAGGCTTTTTGTGAGATGTACTTTCGGAAGTCTACCACAATAGGGATAAACTCTAAGCAGCCGAGAAAAGAGCAGCAAAAATTTGGGTTAAGTTGGTGGTCCCCGTGTTGGTCTCGCTGAACAATCAAATGCAAAACCATATTTTTTATAAAATTTTTTATTTAATTCTCTAGCCACGCAACTTGGAGGCAAATTACAGTCTTTTTTCTTGTGGGGCCTGCTCTAGTGCTATAATCTGCGCGAGGTTTGTTTTAGTATTAAAATGACTCATGAGTCAAAAATGCATCGTCTAAACGTTTTGACTCACGAGTCAAAAACACATGCAACTTTGACTCATGAGTCAGACGCAAGGAAAAAACGCATTGTGTAAACTGGCCTTTAGGATCTGTTTGTAATATTTTCCATATAGATTGGGCAACCTCAACAGTAATATGCTTGTGTTTCTGCTTGGCCTTTTTCAATCCTATTTCAATCCATATATACTTAATAGCATAGATTTTTTATCTATGCTCTGATGTTTTGTACTCTCAGGAAACTGAGAGTCCTTTCTTTTAAATCCTTTAAGTAAACAGGGTGCCTGAGCCAGGGTTAAAGCATACATAAATTGGAAGAAGTAAAACAGCATACTCCTTGACTTCAAGGCTATTTAAGGCATACGACAGATTTTTAAGGGGCTTAAGCCATCTGTTGATTGCCTTTACTGGATTAGCTTGCCTCAGCAAATAAGGGGAGTGATTCACATCTCACCTACAAAAATACAAACGGCCAAGCCTGTATCTTCCAAAATAAATATGGAGTTATGAACGATATTGTACTATGTGATTTAATTCTTTGTAGCTTAACCTTCAATCAAATGGTGTGCATCTTGTAACATAGAGCAAACATATAAAAAAACCTTGTATATAACTCATTAGAGATCCCGTGCTTATTTTAATTTATCATTATTTTAAAGACATTTGAGGAGCATATTTATAAAGTATACAAACATGTTTACAAACAATAAAACCTACCATGGAGGAGGGCAATCTATTAAGTTAGGATGGCAATATACTATCCTCTTATTCAGTATACTTTTTCAGCCTATTATCTACTGAACTTCTAAAATATTCAGAAATAAATATCACATTCATATGAAATCCCTTTATTCATTAATGCAATATTTGTGACACAACTTTTTGTTACTACAGTTTTTCAAGTAAAATAAATTTTTTTGCTATAGGTTCAGTGATGAATTTAAATGATGACCTTTTTATATGCAGTTTTGAATACATCTAATGGTAACTGCCAGAAAGATTACTATATGATTATTTTTCTTTGTATATTCCCACATTAACTGAATAGCAATTGCATTTCACCTCAAGTGGAATTCAACTCCTGCATAGTTGTATTGCTGATCAGCTGACTCAGGTTAACATTTTAAAGGTGAAAATGTTCATAATCACTGTGAAATATATGTCATGGGATTCCATACCCTTAATTGTCATACAGAGATGCAATGCTTTTGTCTTAGTGAGGTACATAAGAGAGTAATTATGTATAGTGATAAGTGGACTTTGTGTGATGATAGTAAGTTTATTATGACCAAAGGATTTGAGTTCTTTGTGGTATTGACCTGGTGATTGACATCAATGACTCAATGCCACCCAGTTTGTGAACTGACAACTTGCAAGAAAGGAGGGGGGATTAAAAAATATGATTATAAAGAGCCACTAAACAAATTAAACTACTGAGGGATCTTCTCCATGTCCAATGGTGATTAAGATCCCTTCAGTATACCTCTAGCTATCACTTCATTTGTTCTAATTAAAAATACCTCATAATTGATACTGGTATCCACAAACACTTTGTTTGCCAGTTGGACTAGCTTAGCAAGCCATAGACATGTGTTCAAACAAAGCAATTCATTGAACCCTGATTCTTAAAGATATGTGTTCATATTACCTTGGAAAACCTCCAGTACTGTTTACAACTAGCACACATCCTTGTAACATGTTTTAACATGACGGGGATAGAAATTCTAACTATGAAGCTGAAAAAGCATTATTGGTCCTCTGTTTCAATAGTTTTTAAAAATAGGATCCACAAAAAGTTTTTGTACTGGCTTCTTCAGATTAAAAATTATTGAGCCTTCATATCCTTTCTATGGGGTGCCAAAAACAATATGTATATTATGTGTTTCTGTCTCACTTCAGGGGAAGACTGGCAAATCTTCAATAAAGAGATCAACTAAGAAATAGAATAGAAGGAAACAAAGAATAAACAATCCTTGTTTCACATTGTGTGATTATTTTTGCAGTACTCAAAACATGTAGCATTGGGGCCTACATCACCTCCCACCCCTCCCCACCCCCCCGTTTTTTCGAAAAACTGCCAATGGACTGGAACTCCAGGATGGAAATAGTGCATGTTATGCCAGAGACCTCAGGCATGGACTTAAATCGTCCAGGCAGGCATACTAGGGTCAGTCTGGTTTGACTTCTGTGGAGTAGTGACACATTCTAATTATCACAAATTTTTGAAGCCTTGAAGAAAAGCTTATTTTATATTCTCGGCAATCTTTGGCATGAGAAGATAATTCTACCCAGGCTGGACAAACAAAGAACAGAGTAAAGGTAAAGAGTATTCAAAACTTACTTTTGGTCCCTTACATCTGGTACCTCTCTGTCCATTGGTAATATGTCACTCTCTTTCTGATTATACGCATTTCTTCCATATGGATCCTCGCCTGGCTTTAATTTATCCGCATCTACGTAAGCTGCTGAATTCAAATCTGATATTTTCCTTTTATCTATGTCTTGTACACCCAGTTCAGACCTACTGTCACTTACAACTCCTTGCTTCTCTTTCAGTCTCACCTTCCTTCCTCTAAGTATATACTCTTCTCTCGACTTTGAGGAGTCAAAAGTAGTGTGGTGTTGTCCGACAAGAAAAAAGTACATACCTCCTATCCAAATAAAAAATAATCCTGCTACAATTATCCTGTTCCTTCTAAACTTCATGTTTGTGGCATGCATTAATTTTCCGCTAATATGAAACAATTATATTTTAATATAGAAGTGTTTATCTCTAATAAGTTGGTGAAGAATAGTCAAATTCTGACAGCTCAATCAATCGTATGCAGCTTACTCAAAATTGATAAAACTCGGCAACGAGAAGTAATTGCAAAGGACCAGCGGACTGTCCTTCTCTCGATATCTGACTGAACTCTAGAGAATTCCATTAAATGCCATAATGTGACGTTTTCTTGACTATGTCTAGATGTTTTAGCTGAGAATTTCGGATACCCAGCAACGGGCCTACTGTTCGTTTACTCCAGCTTAGTCTTTCTACGTTTTCTGCATGTAAAACAACCTCCAAAGATGCAAAGTGCTTTAACATATACAATACCGGCTGTGTGCAAATCACCGACAGTTTGAATAATGGCAAGAAACGCACAAATTGTTTACTAATTGCATTTGTTGTGCAGATACACATTACCCGCTGTCTGTGGCAGCCATTTTATAGTTCCACGTAGGTGTTTGTCTACAACGCGGGCCGGAATGGTGGAATTTTCCTGAAGTCAATAATATAAACTATGGAACCAACAAATAGTTGTCGGTAACGTTCGTTTTTGCGTGACTAAAAATCTTTATTTTTACACACACAGTGCCATCTTGAATTATTCAACTGATTATGACTTCATTTAGCTTTTCAAAATAGCTTATCGGTATCTAAAAGGTGATGCTTATCGATTAAAAAATACCACCTGTCTTAGTTATAACAAACATTTTCAAGTGACACACGTTATATTTGCTAAAACAGCTGCTTCATATTCTGAGAGTCAAATGTATTCTTTCTCGAGGCAATAGATTGTAAAATTCACATAAGTAATATACACCATGTACCAACAATTTCGGTGGGATTTTTTTTCAGTGAAGCAATGGAAGCGAAAATTAATCCCACCGAATATTTTTGAAACCGATATTTTTCTTACCGAAATTTGCAGAAGATAGAAAAATCCTTGGAAATCTAGAAAAATTTTACACCGATGGACTTTTAAAATGAAAATAAATTTCCTTGATATTATTTGAGTATTATTTGAGTATCCATTACATATCAATCTTCAGGTTCTGATTCTCTTTCATCATCAACAGGCATCTAGCTCATCTTTACTGTTAAGACTTTCGCCTATCTTTCGCTAGTTCTACGGATAGTTGTCGGTGTCCAAGAGAAAAGCCAAGAAAAAGAATCCTTTTAGCGTTCAGCAATTTCTATTCATCACATAATTCTCGTTTCTCTAGGCTTGAATACGAACACTACTGATAATTTTACACGTTTTTATATGTTCCAACAAGGAATTACCGAAATATCAACCAATAACAAGCGCTCTTACAATTTACGTAAATTTGTCATGTGA